GGAAAATTAGAGGCAAGCGAAAGGAAAGAACGGATAAGTACAGAGTATTCGGAGAAAGGATGAGGCTAAGAAGAATAGATGAAACTTCTTGGGAAGAGAAAATTAACAAAAGGGTATAGGACAGGCAAATTTCTCTCAAGCGGTAACACGTAAGTAGTGATACTTACGTCAAATCAATCGTATAGTCGATTCTCGGGACCCCACGTCTGCGTCTGAAACGCAGCGATAGTTGCTTGTGAAGAACTAATAATAATGGCAAGGAGCAAACCAAACTGACGGCAACAGTCCAAATCATGTTATTTTCAAGGCAAAGCTTGCTAAGCATTCTAATTGAACTTTGCCAGGGCGCTGGACGAATTTAAAGCCCTACGGACAATGGCAAGTAACAAGGTTTAGGCGAACAAACGGGGTCGGCTGAGCAGTCACACGACTGATCACCAATGTTTAATATAAGAGCCTTTTCTGGTTGGAGGCGGGTAAACATGTCCCTCTAAAAAGGAAAGGCGTAAATCCATGTTGTGTAAATGTCACTGCACGATGCTGATTACAAACAAACGCATTATTTTATTTCCAAGATTATAATTAGTAACACTTCACAACCCCGCACTCGCTTCGTATTTACAATATGTAAGGTAGTACAGAAACAAGTTCTGTAATCAATATTGTTAGCACTAGTCCATATGAAGAAAACCTGACGTCCAATAAGGTATTCTCAGTTTATTTTCCAGTCAATCCAAAGTGACTACTTGCCCATTAGGTAAATGGGTTAACAAGATTATTACGGACACTGCGCAAATGTGAACTCACATTTCAATGTCTCCAACATTAACTTGTTTTATTCGATTAAACTTTTTGCTTACTGTTGCTTAGATTGATTTATTATAATTTTGGCTTAAAATGCCACCAAGTAGGCATTGTTATTAATAGCAATAATGTAACATAATTTTGTTTACAAATTATAGAAAATTACCGGATTTTTTTATTAAGCAGCATAACCAATTGCAAATTTAGTTGGATAATCGCATTCTCCGTCATTTGAAGTTTATTGTTTTTACTATTTAAAAAGGATCGGCAAAAATGTGTATGAATTCACCTCTATTCCTATTACCATGTTTGTGCTGATAAAAAGAAAAATTACACTCCTGAAAGGACGGATATTTATCGTTATTAACAGCACAAACAATAACGCTTCCATGCAGTGGCATGTGTAAAGGCGTTTATTGTAATAGCAATACCAATTTTGATATCGCAAGTCTCGTCAGGAACGAGAAGCGTTTGTAAACACTTCTGAAGCTGATAAAATCAGGGTGAAAATCAGCATGGGGCAAACGTTATTTGTTGTATGCATTATGTACGCTATTGCCAAAAGTGGCTAAACTAAAACATTAGGTTTAAAATTAATGCTCGAACGTTAGTATATCACACCAATTTTGGCTCGATCAACGATGGAATTTTAACCGTTTGTGAACCAACAGTTGTCCTATTCGCCGTGTATCTTCAGGGACTTCACGTTCGAAAATGACGATTGGACAACGTTTGTATCACTGCATATTAATATGTGTGATGCTGCGTTGTATCATTCAATAACTAATAGGATTGTCCGTGTTACAATGCTTTAATAATTCCGAAGCGTAGTATCCTTGGCAAATTTCACTTGTATCGAGGTGAGCGAAAATAAAAAGACGTTCAAGTCTTGTAGAGCCGCACATTGGAATGTCTTCAATAAGTATTGTCGTTGATCCTGTGGATGCTACCGTTATCAGCGGCGCAGCAGCTGCTGAGAGTGATAATTCAGGTGTGTAAATAATGAGGGTCTATTCGGTCACCACTATACGACGCCGCCCTGTTGAATAACATTAATATGCTGCCTATACTAATTCAGGAGATGATACTATTCAAGGTTCTCCAGAGAACGAAGGTAATTAATGTTTACGCCACCATTGACTTGGTTCTGAATCGTCGTTTCCTAGTCTCATGTCTTATTACAATGCAGAAATAGTCTACGAGGCAAGTAAGGTCTTGGGAAAAGCCTATCAAGATAAAGAGACTTTCTATGCTCGAGTAACAGTATTAGAGAATCAAGATGAACGGTGAGTAAACTGGGTATATATTAGTCTCTGATTTTCTAAATCCTGTTTAATCAACCAAATTACTAAAAATTTTCAATTAAAGTGGCATCATTGTAGGCGTTGTTGGATGTGATTATAAACCTAAGAAACTTATTAAAGAATTCATTGACATTGGTTTGTAATTCCCTATTTGTTTCGAGTCTCATAGTCTGCTCACATCCCGCTAATGACGATATCCAACATCTTGATAAATGCAGGAGGGCTTGGATGGGAATATTATAGTGATGGAACTGTAAGCGATGGAAGGCAAGAGAAATTCAAGGATATTCCATATACGAAGGGCGACGTTGTTGGATTTGGTCTAGGCATTTATGACGATGAAAGTTTGTTCTTTATCAAAAACAGCAAAGGATACGTTTTCTGTACGTATTTACATAATTTATTGAATCATTACATGCTATTAACAATCATATTAACTAATAATTTATTTGACAAAGCTTTTAAATTTCCAAAGATTAGAGCAACCTGCCCATTCTATGCTTATGTGACATGCAACAGAGGCTCTAAAGTGAAAGTCGAGTTTCAAACATATACAGAGCCACTACCGTATCCAACTTTCGTACATACATCACAGATTGAACATATGGCCTTGTCATCTGATCATAAGTATATTGCATTATACAGTACGAATGATACAGTTGTCTCTATAAACAAGATTGATTTCATGGCGGCATCAAAACCAACGCTCACCACACTGTCAAGCTTCAGGGCTGACGAAAACTATGACATTCTATCAAGATTTAGGGCTGACAAACATCATATTGCCATGGGACTCATTCACGGTACCGATTTCGAGGGGTTGAAGAAACAAAATTGGCAAAAGGACAATGTTACCATTACAATATCTAAGGAATGTGGTGGAAGAGTTCATGTCTTTATTAAACTGGATAAAGAACTGATGCATGCATCAGTTGCATGTAAACAGCAATTTGTTAATGGGCAACCAGTGCCAGGCGTACCATCTCTTGCTGTGCCTTCAAAAAAGGCTTTATGTGCAGAAATGTTGAGTGATGGTGAAACATTAGTGTGGATTGAAGAACGAACTAAACAAAACAAAAACGTAGTACATCTGCAATCCATTTCACAATTTACTACAAAAATACTTATGTATATAGGAAAGCTTGCCACTGTACGTGCAGCCCCTCTTCAGAAAGGTGTCAGTGGAAATAGAAGTGAGATACTTATCTATGGTGACGGTCCCCAGATACAGAGCATAGCACATCTAAGATATACCCATAATGGTGATCTTGTCCAGACATTTCATCCAGTTTTCTCTAATGACGTTGTCTGTAGGCAAAGAACAATGATGGCCTTTTATTCACCCAAGGAGGATCTTCGAATATTTGACATTGAAACGGGAATTCTATTATCGAAAATTAAATTTGGCTATGACATTCTTGGGTCAATTCACTTTATACATGGTGTAGAGCATTTAGCCACTGTTCATTATAACTCGCCAAATGAAGCTTTTGAACTGAACTATTATGATCCATTAACTGGTGAAATGTTGTGCAATCCATACATGGAATCTTCAGAGTTTGAAGGCAAAAATACTGAACTCTCAATAATGGTTCAAACTATCATAGGCAAATTTTATGTAATTGAACCCACCGGTACTACTATCACAATGCATTTGATCAATAAGGATATTATTCCAATTGACTTCGGCCAAGCAATTTCAATAGAAAGTGCGTTTAATCCTAATGATCTAGCATTTGGTAATAAGGATTTCTCAACTGACAGGAAAATCACAGTACGTGTTGATTGGAAATTTTATTGCATAATGTTGAATATTACACATGGAGATGCTGAACCTTGTAAGTAATAATAACGCAGTCTTAAATTATGATGTGCTGTTTATTTGTGAGTTCAAATTATTGATGCAATCGTATTTTATGTCTTATAGTAGAATTTCCTATTGAATCATATGTGGATGAATTTGTGCCCAAAGTGAAGTTCTTGGATCAGACGACTTTCTTTTATATGAGTCACTTCTCGATACAAATTTGGGAGATCAAAGGAGAATCAATAGAAGATGTTGAACTGATATATATTTGGGCAGTACCAGACAAATTTATTAAAATTTGTGATGTCGAGCTTTATGATTTTTATCTTTCAATTCATTTTGACGACTCAACCAAGCTCCGCAAGGAATTGGTTTACAGAGAGTTTTCGAAAATGACAGTGAAACATGCTGCACGTTTTCTGGCACTCGATCCACTAAATCCGGGCCACACAGTTAGCAAGTGCTACGAATTTCTTGATGATAAACTTGGCAAAATTGTCTTGAATGATGTTGACGACAACTTTTATACGTGCACTATGGAGTATGTGGTCACATGCATACCAAAGTATCGATCAGCAGAGTGGCTTGAACGTATCTTTAACAACGGCAAATATGTTCCACGTTTTTATCTGACAGCCTACAAAAGCAGTTTGCTCAGTCAACTTATATCTTATATTCAACAATCTGAAAACGAGGAAGATGATCAAATGTCTATAGTTCTTGATCATATAGTCGCCTATTGCGTCCAACAAGCCAGAAAATATCCTGGATACATGATGTTTGTTACTCCTCTATTACAAGAAATTGCCGATATAAGACCAAGCAGGTCACAGGAGTATGCAGCCTATCTCTCTTATATTTGTACGGACAAGAAAAGTCGAATGTCATACGAACATCATATGAGTACGCATGCAATAATGGAATGCATCGATATGTCCCATTACGAACGGACCAGATTTTCAAAAATTTCAAACGCTTTGTTAAGCTTCTTTAATCTATCGGGGAAAACCTATCATGGCTATTATGACAATGAAAATTGTATATCACCACTCCCGGGAATAAGCGACCCTGTTTTACCGCCAAGTCCTATCGCAGGCTATCCTCTCGGAACTAAAGAGCACTGGGATAACTACACTGAGAGGTTCTATGATCTGACATTTGTACAAAAAACATCGCTCATCGGTTCCTGGATTATTCCTAGCCATTACAGTGTTTTCATTAATCTGGCAGTTCTACGTCACCCTATGCTTCAGGAACCTGCCTTTGAAGCGTTGGTAAAATATAAATGGGAAAATTACGGTCAAAGATACTATTTAATTTTATTATTTGCGTATTGGACTTATTCGGCGATGTTTATTATTCCTGCAAGTATTGGTGATAACGTCTTATACGACACTGGGCTCAAATATCCAGTAATTGTGATGGCGGCCTTCTTTCTTTTATTGGAGCTCAGGCAGTTTCTCACCTTAAGGCTGAAATACTCCTATAATCTCTATAATATTATCGAGTTGGCGTCATTTATTCTGCCTCTTGTCGTTTCTTTAAACGCGCATGCCGATAATCCACCATCAAGTCGGTCCTTGTCGTGGGTAGTATTATTGTTATGGGTGTTCATGGCATTAAATCTTCGAGCATTTGAAGGGTAATTATTCTAAGCTTCAGTTACTCTTGCTTTGTCGAAGCAGACACGCTAATAACTAATCCGTGGTTTATTCGATTTATTATTCTATTTAGAATGGGAGTCTTTATCATTATATTATACAAAGCCGTTTTAAACTTGGTGTCTTTTATCTTGTTGATGTCTGCTATACTTGCTGGTTTTACCAGTGCCTACTGGATTCTTCTTCGTAACTCTATCACCATTGACACTAGCGACAACAACTTCGAATCATTCTGGTTTTCTCTGAACTCTGTGATGGCATTCTTAGGAGGCGACTTTTCAGCGATCAGCAATGTAGAACACACAACTGATATCAACCTACTGCGAATACTATTCATGGTTAGCACAACGATAATGTTGTTGAATATTCTCAGTAAGTGTGCAGGAGCTGTTATCAACCATTGCGTATTCTCTTATCCATATACTGACTTGATTTCTGTTGTGTTTTCATGTAGTCGCTATTCTCAACACTGCATACAGTGACGTCGCCTCTCAGGCTCGGAGGATATGGGTACTCAACTGTGCCGAGATACTTGCTGAATTTGAACTTTTCTGGATGACGCCTGAAAAGAAGAAAAACAAGTACGCTTGCATTTGATCGAATTTACAGCAAATTTGTATATATTCGGATGCGTTAAATTCAAAATTCTTTCTATAATAGGGTTCTGTTTCCAAGATATATCTATTATGAAGCAGACAGAAGAAAAGTTAAACAATATCGTCGTACGAAGGCATTTAAAGAAATCTCAGACGTGGAATTGGAGGAACGTCACGTATATGCATATTCAGAAGTTGTGGGTTCCACCGATACAATTAATTAGACATTGTATTGATGCACTATGTTATTAGACAAAAGCCTGCATTAAAGAACAATGGAAGGACAAGACCCTCAAGTAGCAATTAATTAATTAATTTACTATTTATTTTATCATATTATATTGGGGGAGACTTCATTCGAGGAATAATAATTATATAAAAGTAGAGAAGAGCATTATTTCGGTTCGCGACCCTCTTGTATTATTAATTAAACGTATAGAGATTTCCGTAAAGTCAATGTCCACCGGATTTTATTTCTCACTTTATCAATATAAATATTCATCACTTTTGATTGTGGCATTGATATCTTATGCAGGACATCAGCATTCAGTTTCCCCTTCTGAACTGGATATTCCAGTCTCCAAGCGAATGAGGTTATGTAAGTTTGCATAGAGATTTCCGTAAAGTCAGTGTCCACCGGACTATATTGGTTTTTTATTTTCATTATTCTGTAGTCGCTCTCGCCTAATTAACCGTTACAATTAAGTGTTTGCGCTCAATAATGTAATATAGTCGGTTCTTATATTATCTAACTTGCGGCAACGATTATCTTTAGTGGTTATCGATATGTTACGATCAGATCGACTATATAGAGTGTCAGAATAATTGGCTAGCAAAGGAAGAGATCATGAAGCATACTTCATCTCGTCCTCATTAAATCCAACTGTCGGAAACTTCTTAGCAAATGCAACAACTTCTTCTTTCAACTCTTTTATTCGAGGCTCGCTTGACCCATCTTCACCAATATAATTGTTGAAATCTTGTAACTTCTTGTCTAATAATCAGACATGTACAATGACCATTAATAAACGTTGCCCTACACAAGCAATCTCCGTTCAAAAGATTCTTCTATACCTTTGACTTTATCATCCACGTCGATAGTGATTTGTACACCCCGGTCAATAAATTCTGCAACTTTCTCAAAATCTGATTCAACGAATCCACGCGAAGTCATGGCCGGTGTTCCAACCCGAAGACCGCCAGGAACAAACGCGCTTTTATCACCCGGAATGGTATTTTTATTGGCCGCAATATTTGCCAATTCTAACACGCGTTCAACACGCGCCCCATCCACGCCCTTAAAAACAACCAAATCAATAAATAATAAATTCGTGAGCAATCAAACTTGGGATCCGCATATCGTTTTACCTTTGGTTTGAGATTCAATAACAGAAGATGAACGTCAGTCCCACCCGATACTAATTTATAGTTTTTATTCATAAATGCCCGAGCAAACGCTTGACAATTATCCAAAACTTGTTGCTGATATTCTCTAAATAGCGGTGATCTTGTCTGTTTCAATGCCACTGCCATTGCAGTGATGGTGTGATTATGTGGACCACCCTGATGACCCGGAAATACCGCTTGGTTGACGAGCTTTTCGAGTTCATATGGGATTTCTTTGATAGGTTTTGATTGCATTCAGTAGACTTTTCATTATTACAAGAAAACAGAAATTAAACTTTGCTTCCCGAGTGAGACCGTGGGAATTAAGTGTTAAAGGAAAGACTTACCGTCGCCGTTCTTGTTGATTGATCTGGTACCTTTACGGAAGAAAATTAACGCGCCACGTGGTCCACGCAGTGACTTGTGTGTTGTAGTGGTAACAATGTCTGCATACTCAAACGGTGCCGGGAGAACTCCGGCCGCCATCATTCCTACACAAAAAAAAAAAAAAAGAGAATAAGGGGACAAGCATCATTCTAAACAAATCCACATATATCAAATTCAATCGCTCACCGCTAGTGTGTGCAATATCCGCCAACAAATATGCATTTACTTTTGTGCAAATTTGTTTCATCCTCGCGTAATCATATTTTCTGGGATAAGCACTAGCTCCAGCGATTATAATTTTCGGTCTATATAGGGTAGCGGTTGTCTCAAGCATATCGTAATCTATGTAATCAGTCTCTTCATTCAGACGATAAGGCATTGTTTCGAAATAAGCTGATACATATGACACCTTTCTAGTAGGCGTCTGATATCCATGAGAAAGACTAGAACAAAACACAAACCGCGAGTAAGTGGCAAAAATTACAAAGCAAGGTAATTAAAAAAAAAAAAAAACAACCAATGTCTAACGATCCTCAGTAAATGTTAACATCATTGTTGTTACTTACTGTCCGCCATGCGGTAAATCAAGGCCCATTAGACGTTCGTGGGGTTTAAGTATTGCGCTGTACACATACAAATTAGCAGGCGCGCCTGTTGTTATTGAAATGGGGATCTCAGTTATAGATAAAAAGTCTGCAATATGTCTCTGTTGTTTCCAATGACTGCGCGTAAAATGGTACCAGATAATGCTTGGACGTTGACACCCCACTTTGCTGGATCAAGGTCGAATGCTTCTAATGCTCTCTTTTGACAACAAGTCTCTGCTTGATCAATATACTCGTTTCCCCCATAGTATCTTGGAATACGAATCATAATGATGAATGAGCATACATCAAACTCCACAGGGTGTATGATTTTTTGCCGTCTGAATAAATTATAATTATTACCTGGCCCCAGGATACCCTTCTGAATATTTATTTTGCATTACAGATCCTAGTGCATCCATCACAGCACGAGAGGTAAAATTCTATATACCGGTCAGTATGGGACATTAAAGCATCAAACAAGCCTATATGTATGGACAATCACGCCTCTTAATACCTCTGATGGTATGAGAACAATACTCTCTCGCTGTCGTTTCTTCTCTTTCTCGATGATATCAAAAATTTCGACATCAGCATCTGATAAAGATTTGTTCAGAAACTAGCGATGATATACTAATTAATATTATTTCGATTCAAAAACTTGGAATTGAATCATCAACTCTTCGCCTTACTTCTTTTTGAGCTGCAAGGGAGACATATCTTCGCTAAACAATCACCAAAAATAATCGTTTAGTATTTGATCAACAGCATCCTCTAGCCTCTTAAAGTTACCAACCAATAGAAAGGTAGTTGCTCTTTGAGAAACTTTTAAAGAATGAGCGAGGCCTATACTCTGCAAGATATTTCTCGACATGAGGTAAAAAGTTTTGTTGGTCAAAATTCCCTTGGGAAAATATAAAAAACACGTGTCACGCTGTGTCCCCATGTGATAATAATCGCCCTCGCGGTCATATTAATAATGCTATTAATATTAAACAGATCCATAGTCTATCATAGATAGATAATTAGTTAAAGAGAAAAACACTTGCTGACGAGACGGCAGCTTTTAATGAAAAGGAAGGACCGGTTACTTAATCTAGTATTTTGAGTGGGCGCACAACCGACTTATACCTCTCTCGTAGTGATAAAGTAAAATCTGGATGGATCTCTTTTTTCTTTTACTGATCCTTGCTTTTCGTATCTATATAAAATTCAGTTTAAAGAAAATTACGCGTAAACCAAATATCTGTTAAACCGAAATTTTTGTCTTACACACTTAAATTCCTTTAAATGATAGCTTCCTAATTAAGCATTATAAAAACAAACATTATTATAATTACTGGCTAATTTAGTAATTATTCTCCTATTACTACCTCGTATGCGCAGTTAATGAATTATGCTACTTGCAACGCTTCACGCAACAATGGTTATCGAACTACTTGTTAGTATCTACAGTTCTACCAGAGTTGTCAGTTGCGATATCGTTTAAAAAGCAAACATATAGAATAAACAAGAGGGCTAGTTTTAACCAATGCAAATAATCTAATAATCTATTCGTTTTATTACTGCGACCAGTAATTAATTAATTTTTAGTCCTATGGGATCATAGACACGGTCATATTCTGACTCGGCTTCAATGTCATCTTTTTCAGTACCATCAACGTTATACACTCTGAGAAGATCAAATAGCTCAGGGAAGACATGTTTATGCACGTCTGCCGCCCAAATAAAATCTGAGGTTGAGCATAGTTGAAGATTAGCTGCGCTGCCTATTCAATAAACTAAAATCATTGAAAACGGAACAATGTTATCCTACTTGCCTAGATGTTCATATTTCCTCACTTCCTTCAAGAGCACACATTTAGGTAATTGTCTGGTCAATACGTTGATATCCACCAGACTGTCAATTCCACCATAGAAAACGGCAATTGGAGTGGCAATCTGCTGAGTAGGGAACCGAGATGGGGAATATCCCAGAGCCGTGTAAGAAGAGTAAGCAGGTAACTCGTCGTACACCTGGAAGTTTCTTGCTCTGATTATCTGAAACCAATGTACTAGACTTTTGGTACTCGCGCAGCTATAAAGATGATAATAGGATGCAGCCTTCTGAGCTTCAGTAATTTGATCGAGCTTCCATCCAAATAGGAAACTCATAGAAAAGTCAAGAATCTTGGTAAAGATGGGCGGAGAGAGTACTTTCTGCCAGAAGAGAACAACTGCTAAACATGCTTTGCGACCGAAAAGAAGGTAGACTAGGTTTGGCGATGCCTTGATAATGGCATCAACAAAAATATTATGAAGACCTAAGAAGGTAAAGAGATCAAGTTATATTATAAGTAATAGATATATCAAACACGGTTAACGATGAGCCTATAAAAGGAATTAACCTCTTGGACTTGTAGCAGGAGCCAGCGCGATAAATAGATTGATTTTTTTATTGAGTTGCGGGCTGACCGACAGGGCTGCAAATGCTGTTGTTGTTCCTTGAGAGAATCCGATATATGAAAGTGAAGGTGCGCCTGTGGTCTCGAGAATGTACTGCATGCATCGACTAGTTAATACCAATACAAAAAGTATAAAGCAATATTACGCATCGTTCAAAATACGTACGTCAACCAAGCTCGGTAAGTCACACATTGCAAATTCATCAATACAGTAATTCCAGAATTGAGATCCATTTGGACTGTATTGAGTGTGTTTCATGGAATACTTGTTGCCACGTGCATTACCGAACCATACATCATAACTATCCACCACACAAAAATATTACTCTGTTAGTACTGGCGTAGTACGAATGTACAGTAACACGAATGTACAGTAACAATTAATTAAGAAACATACCCAGCATCGGCCAATAACGTAGCCAATCTGTTATGATCCTCGAGATTGCATAACCATACTTCGCTGCACATCATCAACCCATGATATAACAAGACAACAGGCCTTACGTCGGATGCTTTACCAGAGATAGTATGTCGAATAGCCGATAAGGGGATCCCATGTTGTTTGAATATATTTTCAATACTTGGACGACCCTCAGAATGTGGTGTGGATCTTCCTCGTGGAAGACGGTGCACCCCTAACATGTAATTATCTTGTGTTTTCACGACGTGTTCCTCTGATGGATATCCCCTAGCGGTAATAATCGTATTTTCAGAATTATCATGCCGTATAAGAGACCGTTGCAGTAAACACATACCAGAACTGAGCCATCTCGGAAAAATTGTTAGCTTTTTGCAATAGTTTAACGGGAAGTGTCCGTTCATCTTTATAGTATTTGGTGAAAATCCTGGATAGCGAAAATCCAAACAGTGATTTAGGAGATTCCCTCATGTAAAAGATTTGCAAATGGGATATTTTTTCCTGATTTTTAATGTTGTAACAAGATCACACCTTTGACTCTGAGTCTTACAAATCTCAAGCACCGAGAGAGGTAAACAAAAAGTAACCAAACGTAGGATAGCCTCAACAAATAGCAGCAACCATCCAATAAACAAGGCCTGATAATCACGCAAGTTAAGACGGCCAAGAATGGGTACGGCCATTATTTATCGAAGTATCAGGCAGAAACTCTATGATATAAGATCCTCTATAGTATGGATAAAAAGTCGATAGCAAGTTGCAACTTCTTTAAATAAGGGAGTTTGTACTCAAAAGTCATGTGGCTTGCGTCATGGAGATCTACTTGTGAACATTAATATTTAATGGATATGTAACACAGCATATGAAAATAAGTAATTTATTTACGTCATTAAATATTTTTGGCTGATCAAATTACCGACCGACGCACACACACACACATATATATACATACATTGTATGTTAATATAGCATGCTGATTGTTGACATCTATTTATACATGTCGATAGCAAAAATAACTATAATGTTGATGTGAGGAATCTCCAACAATAACAAATAGTAATCTACTGCTTTAAAGAACGGATGTTTCAACAACATCATGTAGCAACAGATTACAACAGATCGACAGCGTCTTCGACAATCACCGATCATCAAGGAACTATTACTACTCCAAAGCGGTGTCAAAAACTGCTGCACTTGGCACATCTAGTTCGCTATTGTCATGGCAGTCGGTAATTATTAATCATATAATTCATTATCATATAAAATATCTATCAGTTTAACAAGTACTAAACTAAACTCCTTCTTCAGAAGCTATCACTTAAACTTGGATTTTGGTGGTACGAGGGGTCCATAGTTCCAGACCCCACATATATGGAAATCCCGAACTTTCTTTTTGGTTGGCGGCTTAGAGTATACGCATACAGCTACGCACAGACAACTAAACGTGAGAATATTCTCGATTACCTGGGAGAAGTCAATCAAGGAGACTGTAATTTATTTTTTATCTCTTTATTCTTAATAAGTAATGTGCTAGTAAACAAGAAATTTTGTTTATTTCCATATGCTTGTCGTATATGTAACTGAAATCGGAAACTGTGCAAGACAGCTAGATAAACCCACAGACTTGAAAAGTATCCCGTGGCTGTAAATATATAATTCACTTCTTTAGACATGTCTGGAATAATTTTCTCAATTGACGCATCGAGAATGATACTGTGCACTTGTAATAATGAGATATAATCTTGGTGAGCTAACTGTCAGAGTCATTTCTTAATACAGCAGATAGCTTTAGTTTCACTCTTTCTGCAGTGTTAATAGCGGGCTATTAAAAAAACTTGTCGCATTATTTGTTTTTGATGACATGGGATATAACATGCAAGAACAAGAGTAAAATAGAAAGGAATAATACTCACTATGTGTAGAAGCTATCTAACTCCTTTAGTCAACTGTTGTAGTAATTTAGTGCAGGTGGCTCTTGTCGCAGTTTAAGTTGGCAATTTATTACTAACAAATTAAATCAATATTTTTTTCAAAAAAAAAAAAAAGAAGTTTTGCTGTCATTTCTTAGCACGCGAAAAATCGCTGGTTGAACAAGCATCTTTAATTGTCCAAGTTAAACGGGTGCGAGAGATTAAATTAATAAATAAATTAATAATCTTAATTTCCCATATCGAGAAACTTTAATTATGAAAGCTCAATTTTAAATATTCACTTTATATTTAAGTAGAAGATGCTAGCGTGTAAAGTCTTAGTTAAACACATAGACTATGATTATTAAAAAGTGTAAACAGATATTCGGGAACTTACGAATTATGGATATAGTATCCCGGTAGCCGAAGAAAGCAAAGTCTAATATAACATGGATGATTATGCTACTAGCTCCTCAGGCAAAACGGTAACCATGTGAGGAATGGGATAATACCCAGGAAAAAGACATTCGTTTACTGAACTTTGTTGGTATGTGATCATTTCCGTATTTCCGACGCGAGGGAAACCAAGTCAAAAAAGTTTCGACTGAGACTTGATCTTTAATCACATCATTAAATAAACATATATTGTCAGACACCCTACGTAAGCAAAAACAAGTTGAGATTATAATTAGGCGAATCAAGGCCACAGATTGCAGACACACTGTTCGTGATGTTTGATCCTCCATCATGACAATACATCACCTTTTCAGAATGTTGAAACCTTGCAAGGCAGTGTCTAATAGTATACCGAAAGAGGAGTACTGTAGAGCCTTTGAGAATTGGCAAAAAAAAAAAAGCTGAAGCGTTTGTATAAAAGTAGACGAGGAGTATTTTGAAGGGATGTGATAATTTATTTTAAAGTTATTATGTACGTCAAAACTTTTCAGACATCCTACGTATAATCTATGCTCTTGCTTTGCCCTTCCCGTAATTGTCCTCATCATAAGAAGAAACTTCGTAATCTGCCGGCTCTGGCTTATCAATTTGAAGCTCTTCCCATTTATCTGAATAAATCGACAGTTACTATGAGTGAATTGTATTTGCAAAAGCTAAATACAAGTGACTTTGGCTATAACGACACTCTCGGGCAATAAAAAAAGTGTGGTTGTCGGTTTATCCAGCAACTTATCCAGCCAATTTTAGAATGAAACTGTCTTCGGTTTTCAAAAGAAAGTCGAATTGTCGCTTTATCCAGCTGTCGTTATAACCAGAGTCACTTGTACGTAGCTAGTCATAAATCGTTGTAGTTAACAGTGAAGTGTTTGTTCCCTGCTGATAATGTCAATATCATTCTCAGCCTCGATCTTTTTCATTTCTACTGCTGCTCCAGTAATAACTTACCAGTCTCTTCATCATACGTCGTCATACCCAACACCATTTCGTCTGTTAACCCAGCAGACTCAACAGTCTGACCCGCATCTAACAGGTTATCGCCGTTATACAGCCTTATGTGTTTTGGATCTTTACTGATAATCGAAGATAATACTTTATGTATTGAATAAATCTCGTCTTGGGGATTTGAAGTAACGAATATAGTCGTCCTGCGGTTTTTAACTCGAAAATAGAGCGACATTCGAAGCATAATTAATAGGGTATGAATCAACAGAGATGAGAACACATTTGTGCGACTTCCCTTTCATGTGATACGGATCCTAATAATAACGACAATCAAGTTGGCGACCGAGAAATCGAAATGGTTTAGTTGCAAGAACTCACAGACAACCAATGACTTGACCATCAATTACTAGTGCAAGGCATTGCATGCTATGTGCCCAGAGAAAATTATATATGGTAGCACATCTTACAAGTCAGCGTTTATTTATCACGACTCTTTTTAATTGATTTGGTAATTAAAAGCAATCAAACAAATAATTTACTTATATCTACTCATTTCATTATAATAAAAAGCCTAATTCGATACCAACATTTGGAGGCAGAATTTAGTTGACCCAAACATCTCAAACTAAACGTTTGGCACAAATGGTACCCTAATTTTTCTGTTCATGTTACTAAAGTTTTTAAAACTTTGCATAGACAGCCGTAAAATCTTTTCAACTCCTCAACGTCAACGGTGCACGCTGTCGTTTTCTGCGAGTATTTAAGTAATACTACACATTGTTTACCAGATTTCTTTAACATGCGTATCTAACCATGCACTCTCATCCTAATACGCTCGTATTCTTTCATGTCTCACTTTTTTTCTTTCACCCCTTGAATACTCTGTAAACCTCATACTCGTCTACAGAAAATGCCCCACACTCTCCCCTGATTGGCAAAGAATAACTGCCTTGGTTACAGAACCATCGTTTTGGATATTGATTACTCTGCATCATCAAATCTGGTGCATTATTGCTTCCAAACACGGGTCCTCTTGCACTATTATAACAAATAGCCGTATTCTCTGCTTTAACCCTACTCAAAACAGCATTCTTTACATTATCCCTTTGTAAGGAAAATAAAAAAGCTTCTTGCGTTTTAGCATACGTCATCACGGAGGGCGATAACCAATCAATGGGATTGTATCCACCGACAAGTTCTCCAGTTTCGGATACTTGTAAAATAACAACTGTCGGACCCTTATTGTCACAGAGAGAATGAAAGACATCTGTTGAAAAATCCTCACGACTACCGCGAAGGAGGAGAGAAAATTTGTATGTTTGGGACAGAGACGAAGAGGGAAATGTCCAATGATCGATGCAACCAGAGATCCAAGCGGAAAGACTAGGAGTCAGAAGGGTGTCATCCAAAGGGGGCGATGCAAGTGTGGACAGACAGTTTGTTATGGTGGATGAATCAGTGTTTACGACAGAATCCGCGTTTACAATCGCTTTTTGGCGATGGTTGTTTTCTTGCCTTTTCTGATTACCACTCCCACGTCTTCTCTGTAAGACCTTTTCATCATTCTCCTGCTCTGGATTCGTATGATATTGTAATATCTCTTTGTACAATTTATTCGGCAATAGTTTCTCAAATAGTCCACGTCGATTTGCAAATTCAGTCGAAGAAATATGGAAAAACCTGATGCAAGGTATAAAATCTTCTAGTATGCTCTTAAGAACGTCGTAGTCTTCCTTAGTCCATGTAGATACATCTGAGGAAAGAGACGTTTGAGAAATACACCACCGAAAAGTATAGTCCCAAATGCGTACCTCGCTGAGAGACAAGTCGTCTCGTTGGAGGAGGCGTACAAGTGCAATTTTTGAGAGATGCGGAAAGTCGTCTGCAGAGAGGAATGTCTTTGGTGTTTCTATGATCAGTGAAATACACCTGTTTTGAAGTATTGCAAAGTCAGAGTTTGTAAATGCTAATTGTTGAGTGGATATGAAGTTGTCTCGTATCCACTCATCATGATCTGTCACTAAACGTTCTTGAAAATATGAACACAAATCTAACAGACAGAGTGTCTGAGATGAGAGTAGCAACTCGAGTAATTTTGTGGGCGAAGTATCTGCTAAAGGTGGGAGAATTCCGGTATAGATATATCTGACATTAAAATAAATGTGCAAAATCAATTAACAAAACTCGGCACTACTTAATTAGCGAAGCATCCACATTTCTTTATCTCATTAGTATCTTACATCGTGTTTTGTTTAACACTCACTTCAATAGAACCTCAAAATCTCCTTCATCAAAATCATCCAATCTGATCGTTTGTTCACCATTATTTGCTTCGTTATCTTGCAATTTGCTTCTAAAATATTCACTCCTAACACTCAATATAATTCCATGTGCTTTATAGGCTTTTTTGGCTGACGAATTTTCTATTTCAATAATCACATCAGCTGTATCTCTGACTTCGTAGAGTTTTGTTAAATCTCTTGAAAGGGTTTCGAGATACCTGGCCGTCATATTCAATGTTGGATGGGGCATCAGCCATCCAATAAGAATTCTTATCTTCGTGTTACTTGATAATTACGTCATTGTAAATTCTATTCCCATACCTGATCAATTGCATTGTGCAAGCGCGAAGAGTTCTGTAGAATTGTTGTTAACGGGCAATAATATATTATAGTTATAGTAAATGTCCCGACTAGAATAACAATGCAAGAAATGTTTGTTTTCAGCATTCCACGTAATAGTAATGCAATTCCGAGCACATAAACCGTTTAGACACGTGATCAGAGTATATTGACATGACAAAACCGCGTCGACTGGAAGTACTATTTATTGTAGTTAACATAAGTCTCAATTGTTCCCGTATTTGCAGTCGACATTCTTTATACATAAACGAGTGGACAAGTCTTCCGCCAGCTTCCTGAAGCAAAATCGATAATTCACTGCCACTAACGCTGGATAAATTAGTCGGCTGATATGAGTCATTCAACCATAATGAACTTTGCCGAGCGCATGGTTTACGGAGAAATCCAACCATTCAGTATTGTTGGGGAAGTAATTTGCTCGCAGGCTCACCTATCGTTAACATTAGCAATTGATGCATAATATTGAAACTATGCAAAACTGAATTCAAGTATTAAGAATTACTGACGCGCCGAGAGACAATTTTCCACTGCTACCCAAATGTACCTTTTGATTGGCCCATGCAACAATCCGTGAGCCGTGAGCCAGATATTAAATATTGTCAATGAAATCAAGATCTGCTTGAACAAACAAAGAAAAGTTTAGACTGGTGTCAACCTCCAAATGAACCCGGGTGCTTAGAAAACTGTTCGTATTGCCGAACATTTACATAATAATAATAATCGAGTGCTTGAAATGGTTTAGTCAGATGCAAGCAACCATTACCATTTCAGTTAATCTGATTGCGATAGCAGTTTTAAAGATTGGCTGTTGCTTTTGTACGTACACAAATTCATTAGCATTGCCCAATGACAAAAGTGTTTAATCAAATAGAGGAAGGTACACAACAAACAGACATACAAATGAAAACAATGTATATGTCGTATATAAACAAGTATGCATGATGGCTTATCCCACCGATTGTACGAGCAAATTACTACTTTATTGCACTAAGACTTTGATATCTTCTACTTTATGCAGTCCACTCTAAGATTTTTCGTCACACATTGTTTGGAAGCCAACGAGTCTTTTGACGATCGGGTCGCTTTGAAAATCTCTTATGATGTGCGGGAGAAAGAAGTTTGCCAAATTATCACTTGAGATGTATATTAATCAGAAGCAACAGGGATAATAATAACGGGAAGCAACAGGGGTAATAATAACGGTGGAAGAAAATCTTTTTCGATTAAATATTAAAGTTGTAGTACGAATATGTTTATTGACGTGTAACAAAATTATAAGAGTCAGAAAAGAGATTGTGTAGACTGCAAGCCAACAGATTACTATATGTAATTACCCCTTTGTGCTAATTTCCACATTCTAATTCGACTGCCCAGAGAGGAAATGCTCTTTACCATTTTCGTCTAAAGCTAGAACGTTCAAATTATAGGCTGGGAAATCGTACTAACAGTCTACCTGCTTGCCTGCACCCAAGGGTTTTAATTTAAATACAGCTCGTCCTCCGTTCTTGTCTACTACTAAAAGTCATTCACTACATTGCTTATGCTACACTCATTCTATATAAATTACTATAAATGCACACGTGTTTATCATATATGATTGGTTACAGAATTGCATAATTTATTAGTTTGTGACCCCAACCAATTATTAAGCTGATCAATCGGTTGGTTTTGGTGGGTTTTATCAACTAGACGAGGTTCAGGTCTAATTACTTTTTCCGGCGTCAATTGGAATTTGCTTATTTTTCACTTTCTTTACGGGTTTTACCCTTATTCATTCCTTCATTCCTTAGTCTTTTCATTTCATTTCATCCGACTCACGTAATTACTACCACTTACTCTGGACATTTTGTATTATTCGAAGTAGAGTCAAACAAGAATGACTCTAGAAGCAGCGACATTATTTACCTTGTTTGCAGACGGTCCATACTTTCGTCGTCTTCCAGCTGATACCGACTTAACGTCAGACGATAATAATCTCATAGCGGATTATCTGGCCGCATTTGATGTAAAAATTAAAGTTGGAGAAGGCAATGACTCTGCTATATTCTTGGCCTGTTCCGATGTATTATGCTCAAGATCACAATATTTTTATGCCTCGCTCTCAAATACCGTGATAACGGAAGAAGACTTGTTCTTTATACTGGAGAAACCACATATCAGAGCTGATACATTTGAAGATATTCTGAGGTGAGGATTTTCCACATGATTCTTTGAGACCTATAGCCGATACTCTGATTAAAGATCTGTACCATGACCGCCTCAAAATTTTCTCTTTATTTCTGCTCAGATACATTTGCACGGGAGCTACAAACATCGATCAGCTCGACGCCTCAACACTATTTGAACTTTTAAAAGCAGCTGACGAACTGCTCCTATACGATTTGGTTGAAGGCATAAAAACGGTCTTTTTCCGTCGATACCAAAAATGTCAACCCGACTCGCCAGTAACAATATTGAACGAAGTTTTTCAACAGTCACTAACAAGCGACTTTGAAGATTTGGTTCGCAATTTGATAGAAGAGAATCCCTGGGCATTATACAAGTCACCGGATTTACATTATGTAAGCGAGGCAACTATGCAACGGCTGGCTGAGCATGCAAATGCCAATGGGAGTCAGGGCGTCATTCTCGACATTATTATCAAATGGGGCATACGCAAGAACCAGCAGTTACCAATGTCCATCTCACAATGGAAACGCAAAGAGTTTACGATACTAAAACGAACAATTAAACGAGTCATTAACTTTTTACGCTTCACTGATCGTGTCAACGGATATGCTAATGCAGCATTGATACCGTTCGAGATGATCGCACCCACAAAAATGGTTAAGCAGTTACGAGCAGCAGGAGCTCTACCCATGGGACCATTTCATCCATGTTTGCAAGTTCCCAATACGAATCTTATCTCTGATGAATTAGCCGATCGACTGTTGGAACAATTGCACGGCGGAGATGGTGTATGGTTTCAACCATCCAAAAATGGTAAGCCGCTCTTCAAGACTTTGTTTGCATCAAAGTCTAAATTAGGTATTTCGTCAGCACACCTTCCGCCAAAGAGAACCGTTGCATACAGACTATTAATTAGGTGTGTAAGCAAACAACGCACGTTCTACACCAAGTTTGATGATCGAGGCATCATACGCGCACCAACACTCATACTTGCCAGAAGGGAGAACTCATCCCAGGTAGTCGGCGGATATGCAGCGGAAGGTGTAACTAATCCGCAACAGGCGGTGTGTGGAGAATCTAAAGATTCGTTCATTTTCTCATTTCCATCTTGGAACATTGATGAGAGTACGGGAGAATTGGCTGATGATGTTGATGAACCGCAATGGCAAGATCGTGGAATATGTCGCGGTAATATTAAATTAGACCTCGATGGCAAGAACATCACAGTAAAGCCAGACTATTATGTTGGAAAAGATTTTATCGGCAGGCCAAAGGAATTGGACATTCAGTTTGAAGAATGCGAGATGCTCGAAGTACATAAAGAAGAAATAGAGCTTGCTGTTGGTTGTTAGAAGAAAGCAAAATTAAAAAATCAATTAATTTAGTAAACACAATAATACTAGACGTTATCCTTTTCTCTCTTTCTTTTTCCTTTCTTTCTATTTGATTTTGTGTATAGTAACAAGCCATTAACTGCAAGACAGTAATGTCACAAATATCCATCAGGTATACATCATTCTCGATCATAGTAATTTACATGACTCGTCTATGATGTAATGTTAACGACGCTAATAACGTAATCTGTTTTTATAATATAAACGACAATTTACCAACTTTTAATGTGACAAGAAATCTTCATTATCAGCAGAAACGCTTTCGAGATTTATATTCGTCCGGTCGCAAAAGTATGACTTAATTTCGAACCACAGTTTCAAATAATTGTCAGCAGAGAGATTATTAATGACTGTAATATAGATATTGATGTACGAAGTGAGTACTTTATACCAAGTTGATTGCCCAAACGGCTCTCTAATGGTCCCACAATTTTTGGGCATACTTTTCCTACGGGCAGGCCATTAAATGGTTTTGCATTGTGTATTCAAACTTGAGCAGAACAAAGATTGAACCTTTTTTGACAGTTTAAAAACAACCGTAAGTGTTAAAAAACCGCGAGGCAAAATAATTTATGTTGTACGCGTTCGAAGAGCTTTTTTTTGGTAACATGCTGTGTAAATACCCAAGCGGATTGTTGAAGTAATACAGATCTCAAAATGAGTTTTCTAACTCTTGTTCTCAAGTAAATATCTAACCATCATGTCCCAGTAAAAGCGTTTGCAAAAGAATGCGTTCGCTAAGAACAAGAGTTAAAAATGTCGAGTTAACATTACTACTTGTGTCAACACGGACACCAGTGGTTTCACTATGTGTTCCTTCGTGGCGAACATCCAACTTAAACGCTGAGTGCCGATGGAGAGATAATAACGCGTATGAGAAAGATACATGTCACCCTGCAGAGCGTAGATCCAATGTTTGGATAAAATATATCGAATGACTTGTTATCCGTAGTGGTTATCTCACTTAACACATCGAAGAGGTCTACAGACATTGTCATAGCCACCAACCTCCAAGTATGATTAATATTCTATATGTATATCATGTTGGACTGTAGGGAATTTCTTTTATGAGATAATCGATAGTTGTCTTCAATTAATTTATTGAGGGTGTTTATAATTATTATTTCACTGAACCGGAGATTAACAATTAAGGATACTGTTAGCCTATGACAATGCTGCGATTTTACGAGTTGTATTCCGTTGTGACAAAGAGTTAAAGCGCGTACGTGACTAGAAATTCAAAATCAGTGGTAAATGGGGAATCGTTTGATTTGCGATAGAACCTAAAAGCCGCTTAATAGGCATATTCTAAGGACACCGTTTCAAATATTGGATAAAAGCATATCCATTATTCGTAATCTTCGTGTGACATTATAACGATAATTAAGAATTCGCATAAATTCAAGTTTCACTGCGTAGTATAACTATGCATGTGCAATCAATTTTCATTGCATAATAATGATAGTGACCAAAGTTCAGTAATATAATAAGTCATCACAAGTGCTAGGAGCAAAAAACGCTTTCTTTATTTAATATTGTTTAGATCATTTACTCACATCCAAATCACTCGTTGATCACATTCTTATAACCATCCAACTTGCTTGATCGCTTCAGCAGTCGAGAAGTTTTTGCTTGATCAATTGACACGTTTAAGACCACTCAACAAGATCCTTCTGGGTTACGTTTAAATTATCTCGCTTTTCACACCATGGTCGCGTTCTAATAATCAATTGGTTTGCTCCCTATCATAATGCATAAAATTATTCAATCCCCGACGATATAAGCGTCATCAAATTTTCTATATTAAGATTATCGAACGCCAATCAGATTTCGCGACTATATTATCGTTGGGGAAACTGCGCCGAGTCGGTGTCTTGGAGAGTAATGAATGGACGGAAGAAATACCGTGTCGTCTTGGGGTCTCAAACATTCGATATAAAGAAGAAACAATTCCGGAAACCATGTTCCATGTGGATAGTCGAAATAATCGCAAATAAATTAGATCGTAAGCGTGTTGCAGAATTTCTTGACCGTTATATCGAACGTGGAAGTCTTACTACTTATAAATGTTACTTGGAAGATGTCAAAGCGTATGGCTTTGATCATATTATTCTCATCGGAAATTGTTACGCTGGAATTCTTTTTTCTGGACTGCTACGGTCGTGTGTTCGAATGAGTGTTTTGTGGTCGCATGGAGATATACCGCCAAAGGAATCTCTGACTAAATATGTACTATGGGGTGTAGAGTTTGATGGAACTGTCACAGAACGGTGTGTCATAATTAGTTTCTTTTATCCTAGATTCACCAATAAACTAAGTATTAAATAGGCACTTTTGGGATGGACGCATAGGAGTAATATAATAAGGATACGCAAAACATCTAAACCCCATTTTAAATTTTTCCAATCCGCAGTCACGGGAACAAAGTGTCAATCATATAGTGGTTATTAACATTAATTAATATTAAGACTGATACTAGAACAAAATTTTATGCCTCTGTGTACAATATGCTTAATGTAATTATCAACATGTCCTTTGAATACAGTTTTAATCTTATCTGTCAATGTTAAACGTTCCTTTATACACGCTGTTCATGCAATGGGTCTAGTAGATTAAAGCTTATTATTAAAAATGGAAATATCAAAATACTGTATATCATACAAATATATTTAGTTCAGCCAACCACGCGTCAACTAAACCTGTGGTAATTGTTTATAATTGCTTTGTGGCTTGGGAATAGATTAGTGCGGATTATTTTGCGTAACTTGGTCATGAGAAAATAGGTCGTTGAAATTCCATATTGATCGTCGAATAGCTCGTGTATTCTCATGTGATTCCCGTCAAGCTTATCTCGTTCTATGAAGAATAAAGCAGAAATCGACAACTTTTATGATCCAACCGCAGGTTGCTAATTCAACACGAGATCCGAAACTTTAGTTTGTTTGAGCGTCCTTTTGCTTGTCTTACAAATCGTATGATCTGCAACGCATTGACGTAGTTCGTGCACATTTTGAGTGCACTATGTAACATTTTCTTGCTTATTAAAAATATTCGATCTACGTTTGGCGGATATGTAATACCAAAAAAGTGCAACTAACCGAATGTTACATGTTTCGGGTCTGCACATCTCGGCACACGCTGTGTGGAGGTAAACTTAATAATATACCGGTAATTTCATCCGAAAGACATTCAGAACAGAAAACTCTGGCTCGGTAATATACTTGCGAGAGTCAGTATTAATTTTTTTAAATCGAGCGCTGCATAAATGTCACAAATATACAGACTTTGGTCGTTTGATAATTAGCGGTAGTATTGTTTCTTCGTTAGCTGTTTCGCTCCTGGTAGAATCGCGTTTGTAATAATATTTTGCTTTGCCCAATCCAGTTTTTTCGAGTCTATCGCAATTATTGAAACTCTGTCTATTAAGCATACTAATACTACATATTAATATTATGTTTCCATGGACTGAAACAATCGTTTCTAACGTAGTCACTTTATTAATACTTTTCGCTGGTTTTATTAATCTGTTGGAATTAATTAAACTAAATACAGGAAGCGATGCCTGTGTTCCAGAAATTTATTTGGCGTTATAATTCCTTATGCTGCAGTATCCCCCATTTGAGTAACAAACTGTCAGGGGAATGACTAAATTTAAAGGAGACTCTTCACTAAGGTTTATTTGGTCATACTCACAGGGGTAAATTACAACCATGGAAGCCCATAAAGACAGAACCCCGAATACAACTGAGGAGAAAGTGGTGTTGTATTTAATGATCAATTGTCTCGAGAGAATTGAATTTCTCAGAGAGTAACGTTTGTCGCGGGCTTACTGTCTCTTTCATCTTTAACGAACTAACGACTTAACGACTTAACGACTTCTTGCTTAACGTCCCTGTCGCTGACATCCAAGCCTTGAAAATCTCATCTTCAATTACCCACGCAAACGTTTACTTCCACAAAATGTCAACGCCATTCGCACAACCTTCCAAATCATTTTCTCTTCTCCCTTCATCACCATCATCTTCCGCTTCCACATCACGCAAATACCAATCAACTCGCCCAATTCGTTCCAAATCTCTTCCCATTATCATTCCATCTTCCCCACCAACGCCAAAAAACGATCCTACTGTTTACCCCGAACTTCCATCTGATCCTAAAACTTGGACTTCCGATCATGTTGCATTATATCTTACATACTGTCTCCGGCTGTATCCGCCCGCAATTATACGTGATTTAACTCGATATGTGTCGGAAGAACACACATTGACGGGGAAAAGGTTCATGAGGTTGAAAGAAGAGAATTTGAGACATATGGGTTTTAATGAGAGATGGATTAAGTTAATCATGATGGGCGTTAAAGCGCTCCGAAGGCAGAGTTTAAAGGACAAAATATTAGGAAATAATGGAGATTATAAAGACATTGTTGAAGAAGATGAAATTGAAGAGTTGGAAGATGAGGATATGAAGAGCGGGGATGAGAGTGGTAAGTTGTTGTCAAGACAGGAAATTTCATGGTCAATTATCTGATCGCCTTATCACAATGTAAAGCCCATCCAACCAACTTGTAACAGTTCTAACAATAATCATTCTTCCACCCTACGTACAGATCTTTCCCCGGATACTCCGATTTCTTCCTCTTCTTCTTTTTCTTCACCTCGTACTCCTTCACCAAATAATGAAAAATCCTTCCTACTTACCCCAATTACTACAACCAATTCAGTTAGCTTGTTATCGACGGAAGATAAGACTTTTATTCAACCAACATTCACGAAATTGAAAGATGAGGTTATGATAGACTTAAGGGATCAACAGAACACGGTTGATGCGCCGTCCGATCCTCAATCCCACAATCGCGGTTCCTGCCTCCCCCCTCCAAACACTGGGGCTTCCGTACAGCGTTTCTCCTGGTCCTACATTTTTTCTTGGCCTCTTTCTTTATCTCGCATTCTCACAGGACTCTGGCTGTTAAAACGCGAAGTGTTGGAGAATATACCTCAACACAGATTTTCACAGGGATTTGCTGTTGGCGGATTTGTAGTCTGGGCCTGGACGAGAGTCTCTCGGACGGCAAGACAATGGTGATTTTTGTTAAACACGCGTTCAATTAACAATTGTTCTTTCTTATTTGGTGCCCTTATTCATAATTAATTCCTGTATAATGTATCTATTACGCATATTATACTATTGTAAGCAAGAAGCAAATATTATAACATTATTCCGAGACACATGATTTTGAACCATGGGATGGGGAGTGCGCCTAGAAATATTGTCTAAAATAACAATGAATCGTGTCATATCGTGAGACTGCTGCGCTTACCGTTCCATTCACAATAATGCAAATTCGCCGACTTGAGTTCCTTTTATCTTGCCTGGTTAAGAATTGTTCATTGCGATATTTGCGTGGTCGGTTTTATAATTAAATATTTAATACACACGCTATTTATATCCAACTGGTATCATTGCCTACTACATACCAGAGGGCCCAGTTCTATCATAAATAGTTTTAGTTGATATCAATTTGGAAGACACGTTATAGGCCAAATTTTCGGGAAGAGTTTACTATTACTATACTCTAGATACATTTTCTAGGTTCCAGAAAGACTTTCCGATGACGATGATTGAAAGTACACGAATATTCGTCGCCCGTCATGCCTCAGAAACCTATTATTATACGATATAATACTTCAGCAAGTTCTTATGCCTAATCTTGAAGGCTTCTTTCAATATTTATTTATTTATTTCTCTAATATAGTCAAATCGGATAAAATCAAATAGAAGATAGCTCGACCTTACGTAACTATTTATTCATCATTTCTGAGCTTGTCTCTATGCACAGCTTTCTATTTTACCAACTGCTATGATTGACTGTTGATAAACAGAATCACTAGTAACAGCAAGGATATCTCTTTTACTTAGCAATAATCATTGTGAATATAGTACTTCTATCGCCAGTTGCAAAGTGAGAGGTTTATATAGAAAGCAGGACGTCAAATAAGCCTAAGGTGAGAATTATATCAAAGGTCTTAAGGCGTTAATAAATGTGAATTTAGACTTGTGTCACCCAAGAAATATTCGCGATCTTATTACGAGGTAGGAACAGTTTACAGTAGTAAAACGCTCGCTTATTTTAAGGCGTTGGCCAGTATTATTACTCCCCAATCAGCTAGAAACGCCTCGTGTAATTCAGCAAACTTTTCTTTCGGAATCATTTATTCCAAGAAACGAATAGCGTTTTTTATTCAGTGGAACTATTATATGCACTATTTTTCATATACAGATAATCTTATGCGTATAATTTTATAAATTTGTAGAGAGACTTTGGCGCTCTTTGTCAAATTCTGTTTTCAAACTATATTGCATGTTTGTTATTATTATTATTATTATTAGAAAAACCATTGATCCTGATACACAGAACACCTCGTTTTGATACACTTGCTGGGGTCATACCCATTTTTCATGCGACCCATTATTATTATTGATCTGAACAATTTGATTTATATTGGCCACTTACATATGACTGAGTACATCGATTACACGTATTTTATTAGGAAAAATCAACTATTACGTGCTACTGCTCACTAGTATTTTCTCTATTATTCAACCACGTACAGTGTAATATATATTTTTTTCTTATTATGTTCAACATCATCGTCGAAGCGGATATTCTTACTAAGCGATTCTTCGACAAATGATGATGGCTTCCAATTTGATCCTTGCTCTAAAAACAAAGTCTCCAGCTTTGTATGTCAGGTCCTTTCTTGTCGCAGCGGTTTGTTGTTTCAAAGAAGATATCGTTCTCAGGCCTCAAAAGAAACTTCGCGGAAGACATGGCCATGGACCTGTAGACTTCGCTCTTGAGTCTCGTCACACAGGTGCAACAGTAGATGTTACTGAGATCTCTTTTATTCATCCATAATTATGAAATCTCGATAATTCGGTTCGGACAACTGTAAGTGATCAAACTGTATAACTTTAATTCGTCTATTACAGATCAATACCATATATGTAATAATTTCTCGTTAATTCGAACGCTTATTCAAATTTCCTTCCTTTAATTCGGACGCTTAATAAAATTCAGCCGTCCCAAATTACGAAAGAGTTTTATGGATCGTTCCAAAAACAATACTGGTAAAAAACGTCCCAAACTCTATACTAATACACATCCATCTAACTGCCGCAAATATGTAAACAATCCTCATATATCCTATCGTAGTCTAGGCAAAGACTATGGAGTAGGAAAATCGACGATACAAGATATTATTTCTCAATCAGAAAAATGGCTAGCTATTGTAATTGACATTAACGAGGCTTCTACACAACGCTTGAAAAATAAACCTCCGAAATGGCCAAAATTAGAACAAGCGTTATGGCTATGGACAACGACAATAATTGAAACCAATCTTCCACTTACCGGGGACGCGATTATGGCCAAAGCTTGCTATGCAGTGCGTTTAGGAATAAAGGATTTTATAGGCACTGTATGAAACACGTCCATACTGCACGAATATTAAGAACGATATATCGATACAGAGAAGGAAATTATTAAGGAGAATTTAGTGACTCATTTCAAAAACTGAGAAAAGGTTCTTTCTGCTAATATGAAAAACAATATCATTTATTCTGGGAGTGTCAACAGTGCATTTGCGGAGATACTCAGATTGAAAAATATGGTCATGAGATATTATATTTAAGAGATATCGTAGATAGTAATAGTGACCCATTCCGTCCCCGGGAACTGGCCGAGACTCGTAGAAATAATACTGGCGCTCCAAAGAAAAACGGAGCGAAATTTCGTATAATCAATTTAAATCAGCAGGACAAAGCTATGTTCAATTCCCAAATCGCGAATGACATAGTTGAGAAAACACCGATCCGAGAATTCAGTCATCAACTCAAAGGCGTTACACCACGCACATACGCAATATAAAACGTGGAAGAAGTAAACGAAAGGTAGTTGTATAGTATATCTAGTGAAATTTGTCTTATCGCGGCTTACTCTGATGCTCATTTATTGCCAGGCCAATTGATTCAGGCGATGACAAGGAAAATTTATCAAACCAAAGAGAAAAAGGAAGCATAGGGAACGGGTTGCCTCGTTTGTCAAGTTGAGGTCAGTCGTGTCGTTTAGTGCCTATTATTTGATTCAAAATGGTGAGTCAAACTTCACATTAGAAACACAAGATTTACAATGTTATATATACCTTCAAATCATTGATCAGATGTGCTAGGTGTTGTTCGCTACTCGATCCCCATCTATCGTTCTTGTATCTAAAGTACAATACCTAAGATATTGAATTCGGACCGTAAAGGTTTGATAGAATTGAATAGTGAAATCGTACCACAATTAAACACCAGGAATGCTTAGAGAGGGATCTTCGCCTTCAGAGATGCCAAACAAGCGATAGACTTCTTGGAATTTGAAATCAGTGAAAGCCTTTGACACTATGTGAAGAGAATGTTAGCATAGCATAGTGATGAGCAGCAGTGCTCTTATAAAGAAACAATGCTCTTATCAAGTATACGTACACATCTCGAGGGAAACGTTAAAACTTAGGGTTCAGCTGTCGCCATAACCTTTAATGTTCTCTGCAAATCCAAATCATCCGTTATAATGGCTTTTTTCATGCCTACGAAAATCGCCAATGTGGCCTCATTGACATTTTCAATGTCAGCCCAAGTTACAGTAATCTTTTTCTTAAGCTTGTCAATGGAGCTCTCATTTATATTTGTGACCCACGGAAATGGTGTCCTTTTGGGCTTCACAGTGACATCGAAAACTAAACAAAAAAAAATTTTTTTAAAACAAATAAGCAATGAAAATATAAGAGCATTGTGCCATAAAAAAATCATACTCTGGCATGGCTTGAGTTCAGAAGCCAACACTGGCCGGTTCACTTGAGTTATAATTCAAGAAAAACGGAAGCAAGTATACAATAAAAAAAAAAAAAAAGACAGGTCAGTGCTCGTTGATGCAACATAAGCATTCACTGATGAATTCATATTACTATGTCAACTCTATCCTATATGTACACACTACATTACGAGATGCAAACAATAGGAGAGCGTATGGAATATTTAATAGAATGAAACGCATTATTATGTCTACTCTACCCTGTGTACACACTGCTCTACGCCCCCGACGCCCGAGTAGTCAACTCTGCGTTCTGAAATTTTACCACCTGACCACTCCATACCATTCTTCACAGTTTCTAGCTTCTCCAATATTTCTTTCTCCTTCTCCGTGAGTTCTACTTCTGCAAACAGCTTATCCTCCAGTGCCGTCAGTTGCTGCCCACGTTGCCCTCTTTCAAAGTTCTTCAACATAGCCTCCGTTCTTAACCGATCATTCGTCTATTCCAACTCGATGTTATGGATTTTTTTTTTTAATTTATTTTTTAATTTATTATTTTATTTATTTTTTTTTTTGTAAACGCGTCTCACGTGTTTGTGGAACAAGGGCATTCGCAATGGCAAAAGGAACAGTGGATCATGCGCGAGGTAATGGTCGTCCCAGGAAAATAACCGGAAGAACATCCAAAGAAATGCCCATAATAATAAGCACAGACGTGTTGATTGGGCACGTCAACACCTTAATGACAATTGGAGAAAGATATTATTTTCTGATGAAACTGCATTCCAACTTTACCGGAACGATGGTACAAAGGTGAACGACCAATTCGTCTCATGCCCAAAGATCGTGCTACGAGCACCTTTAGCGTTCAATCGTAGGTGCAACTAATAAAGGAACGCAAAATCCTTGACATTTGTGTACAGTCAACGCAAAGCAATTCTGTAAAGGAAACTGTTTACGTTAGCATGTGTAGATTTTGCGCTGTCGGTAAGACAAGCTTATTTGATAATGGATGCCAAATTTTATGTAAGAAACACATTCCAGAAGTAAATAGGATGCTTGGAGGTGGGTGGACAACGATCCAAAACACACGAGTCGTCTTGCTACGGAGTTTCTGAAAGAAAATATCCCAGTGGTTATGTAATGGCCATCGAATAGTCCTGATTTAAACCCAATAGAAAACCTAACTCGTTGAGGCAATGGCAAAATAAAAATATCCGGTTTTTTGTCACACGCACGAGCTGATGATAGTATACTAAGCTGATGACCAGTGACGTCACATGTGGTCCAGCTAAATTATGGTCCAGCGGAGATGTGCTGTTAAATTTGGGTTAAAAATGAATTCTTAGAATGAAAAATCTCTATTTTCGTTATTCATAATGACCTCTTGACACTGCGTTTGTGTAGCGATACGCATTCACACACCAAATATGGGGACAAAAAGGCTAGCACCAGTATTAAAAAACAATCATATCAACTTATAAACGCATGGCAGCTCGCACAGGCGTTAGAGATGTCGAAATCGTGTTCGGTGCATCGGTTTCAATACTTGGCGTTGCCGGCGTAGCATCATCTATTGCTTCTAAGGCCTCTGGAACCCTTGCACCATTTCTTCCTTTAATCAATAATATATTTTCGCTTTCTAAGGAAATTATAGAGCTGTATGAAAATGCTCAGCATAATAGGCGTACTTGTGGTCTTCTACTAGAACGAGCTGCATTGGCAAAGACTGCCGTAGAAATTTTTGTGGCAAGAGCAAATGAATTCAAGTCAGAATGCAGGTCAAAAGAGTTTTTAGACAATTTTCAAGGATTGGTGTCAGTTGTTCGAAAAATCAGGGATTTTGTTAAGGAGGTTTCGCGATTTTCACGTAAGTACTCTATTCTACCGGACAACGATTAATAATGTCTTACCCTTACAACATGCTTTTTTTTTTATTAAATACTATTTTCCGTAAATTATCAGTGTTTAAGAAGATTGTTTTAGCAAGTGACATTAAAGATCGATTCAAGGAGCTCACGGAAGAGTTTGACGGTCGTATAGGAGTACTAAATTTTTCAATAAACGTCCAAAGTCATTGCGAGATGGATGCCATCGCACATGATATCAAGGAGCTGAAAACCGTACGTCTTATTTCATTTTTAAACCCAAACCTTGGGCTGCAAGTCTGGTTTTACTATAATCCTGTTTCCACTAAATCCGACCTTTCCCCCCTTTGCTAGTATCTAAAAAATTTCCATGGGGGTCACTCTGCCGCAAGTACGTCGGCATTTGAAGATATCAATATGACATATGAAAAGTACTGTAAACAGACATTGCAGCTGGACGATGTGAAGGAAAAGGTTATGATTCCAACTAACGAAATCAAACTGTCAAACGGAGATGAAAGGCGCGAGTATCGTAAAGCATATGGTACCTTTACGGGAACGAAAGACGCTGTCGCACTGAAACGCCAAGCAGTGCAGAACGATGATGAAAAATTCAGAAGAGACTTAATTATCCGAACATTTATATACCAGAAGATGAAATTCGCCAAAAACATAATTACGTTTTATGGACTAGTAAAGCGGGAAGAAGGGTATTTTCTTGTTACTGAGTGGCCGGAATATGGGACGTTGGTTGAAGCATACACGAATTATCCAGATGCATTTACGTGGAAAGTGAAGTCAGAAGTTGCCGTGGACGTTATTAGGGGATTGACTTTCTTGCACTCGATATCGATCTTCCATCATCAAATCTCATCGACTAATGTAGTGATTACGAGGGGATATACAGCCAAAATCACGAATTTTGAGTACAGGTATGTGTCGACAAGAAAGAAAAAAAAAAGATTTTTTTAATAACAATGAACAAATGCGAATGCTTATTGATAAACTGTATGTACTGTCTTAGCCGAGAATACAACGATGTAACCGTTGACGTAGGCAATTCATTACAATATTTGCGTTATTTGGCCCCCGAGAAGCTACCAGAAATACAACCAGAATACAATGAGAAATGTGAAATATACAGGTAGGTTATTAGATATCAAAGGAAAACGAGATGATGTATTATAACTGACACTAATTAGGTAATGATGTTATCAGCCTTGGAATACTTCTTTGGGAAATTGGAGAGTGTAAAATACCGTTCTCCGAATATGAGGACGCTGTGAAATTAAGCGAGTTACTACAAAAAGGAAACATCTCACTTACATTTAGGCAGGATACTCCACCTGATTGGGAAAAAGCTACTCTTGAAGGTAATTGATTGTTACATTCTTTATCAGCGAAAGCTAAGGAGAATCATGTTAATTCCTTGTAAATACCATAGCAGCGTAAAAAGCTCTGCGTCACGTCTGTAAAACAAATAGATGATTATTCATACGATCGTACTCGTAGTTCTTACTTATCTGCTGCTCTTCTCTTCTTTCGACTCGTAAGCTACCAACTATCTTCCAACCATGCGCCCTATGTTGAGTGGACTATTCACGACTTTCTTTGACCTGTGTGAGAATATGAAATCAGCCCCCCCCGAATCTGCGCTTATATCAAACGAAGTAGACATACGTATAATAAATGATGTTATAGAAGCAGCAACAGACATTTGGACGGTAGAACGAGCTATCGAAGAACATAAACTACGGGATAAAGGCGATCGTAAAAAAGCATTTCAAGTATTCAAGACACACGCTGAACGCGGTAGTGCTCTTGCCCAATACTATTACGGGTATTATTTGTATCATTATCGATATGATAAAGAGTCAGAAACAAGCGAGATATCCAAAGAGGAGGAGGAGGAAAGATTTAAAAAGGCTGCAATGGCTTTTAGAGAAGCAGGTGATGAAATACCTGAAGCGCTAGGCAGATACGGGGCTTGTTTGTTAGATGGAGTCGGCGTGGAACAAGATCAAGACCAAGCTATCGAATGTCTTGAAAAAGCTGCTAAAAAAAATAGCTCAACCGGTCTTTTTCTGCTGGGAAAACTATATTATTCAGGAGCGAGGGGCGTTGCAAGAGATCTGAATAAGGGAAAGTCTTATCTCAAACAGGCCGTCAGCGTCGGTAATAGTACAGCCAAAGCATTTTGTAGAACCAATAACATCCCATTGTAGAAGCTAAAATACTCGAAGAAGCCGCCGAATACGGCACATAGGCCAAATTGCTGTCAAGAACAGGATGCATATATGTAACTGTAACTAACTATTTATTTATTTATGGTAAGAATCATGATTGTGGCTCGCGAACGATACGACCAATAAATTCTTTCTGATTATAAGGAGGATTTTCTCAAACACATTTCGCTCAGATTATTTGCGCAAACAAGTGGTTATATTAGATTCTCGGCCTTTGAAAAGAACGAGTTTGGGGGTGAACTTTAATCATGTGAAAATGTATTGAGAAAGCATATCATTTAATGGACCTGGGGAAAGTATGCAAACGCCCACTCCTGAAACGTGTTTGACTATCAATCAAGCCGAGTGTTTGTCATTTACTGTACATGTTTGTCTTGAGAATATTTCAATTGGTAATGTAAATAATATAATTAGAAACTTACCAGAGAGGTCCAAGCCATTTATCAGTAATTTGGCTTTGAAGCAATCTTGGTATTCCAAAGTCCAATAAATAACAAACGATGACAAATATGCGAATGATACGTGTAAGCCCAACAATGTTATATGAGACAACCGAGAATAAATATATGGTTTGTTCAAGATGCAGCGCATCAAGCAAGTATAAGCGGGCCGGAAAGTAGATTCTGTCTTCATAGGTCGGTGCGTGAGATCCCAGTATACAGTAGATAATTTCCCAGGAACAATACTAAGACTGAAAATATAGAATGATTTTTAAAATTGCAGCGAATTGGTTGCAAGCGAAAAGGAAGGCTGTACTCAGTAGGTTAACATCTTCCCCAATTTTTTGACAGAGGCGTTGAGCTTATCCTCGATGGTTTATCGTTCTATCGGTATTTTACCGTTGTTCTTGCACACGCGTTTTAATTAGTACCTTTAAATTTTCCGATAATCTGAAACCATTTGAACTTTATGTATCACGACAAATATCCGATAGGGTTTTGACAATTAAACTAAAATAGTGATAAACTTTAGCTGTGCAGGTAACAATTAAACTTTTTCTTTTCTTCCGAACCAATAATCAGGTTACACGGTCATTCAATGCATTTGTTATTCCATTATTGGTCATGTGGGTTTTAAGAATTGTAACAAATCAGCAGCTTACATCAAACCAAACAAAGAAGTGATATCTTCGCAAAGCATTGAAGATAAATGTAGTTTTGTGCCTCCGTGTTAGGTGGTCATAGTAATAGTAACGTAAGCCACTCTTTGCATCATGTATCACAAATTTAAGACCTATGCATCCTTAATTAATCAAACAAAGTCGCGATGTCCAAAAAGTGTTACGCATTACCTTAAAAATAAAGTTGGAATATTCTCAGTATGCATCCAAATGCTAAAGATGGGGGTTCTGTTTTGATTTAGCAATTGTTCGGTTATTACGCCCTGCCAAACACGTTTCAACAATGCATGGATGAAATATTAAATCTATACCTAATTTATAGGTGTTGCGTTCACCAATTATGAATCATCGAGATATATTGTTATAAAAAAACCTCGCTATTTATAGAGTCAATAAAGGCAAGTCATGTGAAATTGTCAAATAAATAGTATATCCGAAACAATGTATATGGAAGCGTCTACAAAGAAAGAAAGTTCAGGGTATTACCACCTGCGGGTTGGCTGTACTAAGCTATCGCCACTTTAAGCGTATCGCGGCACAAGAGCGCTGCATATACCAACCAAATGGATATTTGATTATGCGGATAACGGAATTCGAATTTATCATAACAACTCAAAAATTTCTATTGCAAAATCGGATATCGGACATATTGTTTCTATCGATGTTGATATTATGATTGTTAATACGTTGTATAATATTAAAATACGTCCTGGAAAAGGAAAGGAGCGGAAAATCGATTACGATAAAGTTGTCGGTAGTACAGCATCTCTGTATGAATCGGAGGATTTAACCCGTGCCCCACATTCTTGAGAAGTGCGGCTCAGTAAAAAGAACTAGAAGCCGAGTAATTGCCACTAAGCAGCGATCACAAAGACATTCGTGCAAAAAAGCCGGGACATCTTTATTCCGAAAAGAATGGGACATGTTTTCCGTACGAAGAATTTTTGTTGATATTACGTCATAGGAAATGAACAAGCCGTCATTGGTCGCAATCAACGATCAAAGACAATTAATTAATTATTCATCGCATCTGATAAAAGAATGTTACCGCTTGTTGTAGGTAGCAAAAAGTTTAAAGTAAGTGGTGGCCTGACCATGATTGACAAATCCAAAAAAAGAATCGGCTAGGGACGTATGCTACCCGGATTGGTTATAATCGAAAAAGTAAACGCACCCCCAATTAAACAGCTACCTACAATAAATAACCTTAACGAGTGCAAGACACAAATCTCGTACTATCAAATTGTCCAATCAATTTCGCTGCTACACATTTATCAGATCCCATGTTATAATCAATACGAGTTCCTCGGAATTATTAAACCAAACCATACAATAAATGATGCCCGAAATGTCAGGAGAAATGGTTTTGTAATCGTCTAATTTAATTAAAAAGAAAGAAACTTTATATATTTATACATCTTATTTTTATTTTTATTCTTGATTGGCCTCTTAATAAATTTTATTTAAAATTAGCGTTAAAGTTAAACTTTGCTACTATAATGATATAATTCTTATTGGGACAACTTTAAAATATATATGAACGGCATATTGAATATATGGATCATACTAATACGTATATACCCGCATTACTTTACCCTTTGTAACAGCCACGGTTATTAGGTCACGCTCTCTTTCCTTAAAATTGGTTCATAAAACTGTGGGTTAGTAAAAGGTTCGAAACAAGGAAGTTCTTTTACGTTATACATAAATGATGATGCACAGAACAGCCACCATTAATAAAGATGTTGCCGATTTGATCTATAAACGGAGCAAACAGGTTTCATTTATTAATTGGATAGATAATGTAGATGTTTTCAGATATTCTACGCAGTAACTACGCATCAGCTACGTATCAGCTACGCATCAGCTACGTATCAGCTACGCATCAGCTACGCATTGCGTTTGCATGAAATATTTGGTTTTACTACTAAGCATTGTTGCTTTGTGTAGCATCCCACCGATGAAATATTATCCAATCAGGAAATTACAAGCCACTACATCGCCCAATGAGATACGCTTCCGCTAGCACAAGGCTATCCGCATTATTGTATACAAATTGATCGCATTCCAAGCGCAGTGATATGATACTATTAACTTACGATTGCGTAGTCAAACAAACCGAAATGAAAGGCTTGGCAGTTGTGCGAGCGACCATTATCCATCCAACCTTATAATGGTTAGCGGCATTATGTTACAGTTTCACCCATGTTTCCTTCGTTACGCATTAACGAAATTTGATTTGTTTCTGGTCTCCTTAAATAGTTAATCACAAAAACTATCTTCTAATATGGTTAGACCACATACTACAAGGTTTGACGGAGAACCCCGGTGGATGCCGACCGAAATCTTATTTGTATTTTAATTCTACATATCCTTTTTTTTTTTTTTTTGTGTTCGATGAAAGAAGAAAACGCCGCAAATGAATTAGTGGTATACGCATTCTCTATGACGATCGCGATTATTATGACGATACCGAAAGTTGTTTGCATTGACGGGTACAATTTATCCGAATGTGTATGTGTATGTGTATGTGTATTTGTATGTGTATGTGTATTTGTATGTGTATGTGTATGGTTAATTGCTTTAGAATAAAATAGGTGTATAAATTAATATTACGTATTCGATATAAACCAAAAAGAAGAAGAAAAGAGAAGAGATGGGAAAAAAAAAAGAGACATTTGTTCATTAAACAATGAAGACTAATAAGGACTGTACGATCATGATAGATGGCTGATAGTTCCACCCTCGCATCAATGATAATATTCGTCATACCACGAATTACATTCAACATACATTTGGTGCATTCGCTAACTAGAGCGATAACCTTTTTTTTTCTTTTAATAAAAAAATTCGATGTTTGTTCCATTGAAGAATAATATTAACAAAGAAAAGATATGAAAAATGGTATTGGTTACCAACGGAATAAATAAATAAATAAATAAATGATGTATAATAGAAATATGCAACCGAGAGAGAATAAATATGGTAAAATAAATATAATATATTTGTGACAAAAAATCCTGTTGAGTATCAGAATGCCTAATTCGTATATAGAATGAGTATAATGTACGAGCGATGCTGTTATTCGTACTGGCATTCGACAACAGTGGCAGAAGGAGATATGTGTAAAGAGGGATAAGTAATGTCTTTGTTGTTTCTAATACACACAACCCCTTCCCATTCCTCTTCTCGAGCAATGTACTACCAAAAAAGTCCTCCCCACCCATCAACCAAAAAGTAGAGTCGATCCAAGTACGCTCGAGTAATATATGATGATAAGTTTGATGAATTAATACATATGCGAAAGTAATGTCGATAAGAATGTGTGTATATTATGTATAATTGTCTTTGGTCCGATTTCTTCCATCTATTGTGTAAAAGAGAAAAGAGGCTATATGTATAAATGAGAATAAGAATACAAGTCCAATAATAATAGTAATTTGTAATGGAAGAAATATATAATGGAGAAATAATATGTCTATGATGGATAAATAATACAAAAGGGAAGAGCGCGTAGTATAACAGCATTTCACCTGCGAGCACCCAAGTTGAATACGTCAGTTATCAAACAAATAACTGATCAATCTTGTATATATTACATTACACATCGCTCCCCGTATAAAAAAATGTCTTTTAAGTTTCTCCAAAGATTCGATAATACGCCCTTTGTCACAATATCCTATCCTAATAGTTTTAAGTAAAGTTTGAGTAATGTCCCCCCCCCCCCCCCCTTTTTTCCCCCCCCCCCTCCTCCCCTCCTTCGTACCAAGAGTTCCCAACAATTGCACCATCTTTTGAATCCCCAAATAGAAAGTTTATTCCTTTATACACAATGATTTTTCCTTTCGCGTCAAGGATAGAGACGACTGCATATTGCGATTGTTGTTGAGCCAATGATTATCGCATTGCACAGGAGGGTTTTCCAGAGGTCCAACAAGATCCCATCATCCGCTCCATTAATGAGTCACATTAAAGAAGCTGAAGTTGAGCTGTTGGATTGCTGTAGACATTCTGAGCATCCTCAAGCATTGCTGTATAATTTGGATGAAACATCTCGTTGTAGAATATCATTCCGTTCCCGTCTACTGGGCTCGCAGCCGGGTAGGAAGGCGGTTTGGACATTGCAATTACCGAATTAGCATCCGAGACTTCGTATTCTCCGCCATGACCCTCACCGAGCGTAAGATGAGTAGGCGTGCCAAATTCAGCCACACCTAAAACAGGTGGAGTGGGGGGCGTGCTTATCGGAGAGAGAAGCGCAGAACTATTCGAGGGAGAAGGTAGCATATTGATGGTCTCTGCTTGTATTTGCTGATGTGCCACGCCATAGGAAGAGTTCGAATTGGGTTGTGCGAGATTGTACATTGCGCTGTTTGGTGTCATTGTCAAGCCGTGAAGAAGAGCTTGTCCAGGAAGCTGCATCTGGATCGAATTCTTGATTTTGGTGGACGCATCGGCGTTCCCGTTGATGCTATTTAAAGCAAACTCGAAGGATAGCGCGAGTCTTTTGTGGTAAAACAGTTCTGTTTCAAGTGACTCGATCAACGAGCGATGACGCTGGATTTCTTTTTGGTACTCAATCGATGACTCGTATTGACTTTCACGGAGCGCCTTGATAGTATTTTCCAAATCACACAGATGTCTTTCCTTGCGTTCACGGAACGCACGTTGAGCGGCTCTGTTTTGGGCTTTCCGTAATGCGGGTGAAGCTGGGTTTGGCTTGCGGCCCGGCCTCTTTCGTTGTGGTGGCTGCGGTTGTTGAGAAGGTTCTTCGGGTTTGTCCCTTTTGCAGCTATTTGCATCGACAACGTTTGATCCATTTGTAATCTCGGAATTTTTAGAGTCTTGTTCTTCGGATGATATTTTGATCATTATTTTGTTGTCTAGACTCTCATTGGGAAGCTTTCTTCTGAGCGTATGTGTTGATAGCAGAATCGATTGTGTTGGAGTCGTTGATTGTGTCGTCGTTGTAGCTGAAGCTGTGGCCATTGTTTGTTGCGTCTGAATCTTTGAAGTGATAAGGTGAGTAAAGGCACGAATATTAAAAATTATTCCTAGTGTGGAGGAGCGGCTGGATACAAAACAGGTGTTTGTATAGCTCTCTTTTTTTATTCGTTTTATATAACAAAAAATTGTAAATTACAGAGATTTCAAAGTAATTATTATAACTACATAGGGAGCCAGCCCAACCGAATGTTTAAGCAGGGATAGCGAAAGCAGAAAAAGAAGAAGAAGTGTTGGTTTTTGTTTTTTTTGGACAAAGATGGGCACCTTTTATAAATTGGCTCGTGTTACAATGGAGACTATTAGGGTACGGAGGGTACGTCAATATTGTATAACATATCGCTTAGTGCCGTCTTATTAAATGACGTTACGCTGAACTTAAAATACTTTGCTTTGTATAAAATTAACAAGTGATGAATTGATATTGTGCTTTTTGCAGGTGTTCAATTGCAATTTTAGTCACTTATTAATAACACTACTAAAGTTTCTATCGGACACGTGCCGGTATAACAACGGAAATTTAGATGAGCCATCTTATGTATTGTGTCTTCTATGACAGAGGCCAATCTTATTGTACTTTCCAAATCGTAATTGAAACCCAACTATGATTTAAATGGGTAACAATATTTTCTAAGTAAATCATGTCTTTTAATGCAATCCTAAAAGAGAGAGCCGTAACATCGACCGACAATGAGAGATTGACTATTCTTGGGGTGCCACCAAGACCGAAGTTGTTCTAGAGAATGTGTGTGTAACTTCGAGTGCATAATAAATAAATAGTAGGATACCAATCGCTGACGATTTTTACTAAAAGTTTATAGACAATATAATAGATGTGATCTCTGCTGCAACAAATTAAATCTCATAGCTACGCTTCTCCTGAATATCAACAAGAAAACCAACGCAGAGATGATTTTTCCGATTTGCCAAGAACTTTAAATTATACTAATATTAGAATTGGAAATCTCCAAATGATCACTCTGCTGCCCTTTGCTTGAACCACACAAGCTCCCATGATCAGCGAAAAACCGGCAATTCTAGTAACCCGCGTTAAACTACCAGTGTCCCCCTATGGTTTGTGTCGGCACCGCCGAAGTCGACGGGCTGAAATTTTCTCTTTATCTTATCCACTATCCTATAATTTACTTGATTGATACTATCCCCATATTAATTGCCAAGAAACGAATTCTGGAAATTGATATATCGGCGCTTTCATTGCGGGAGAAAATTTTCCCCTCTGCTATATGATAAAGAGTGTTGGAGACGACGCCCAATTGATTATCAACGAACTATGTGCGTTTATTAATTGGAATATTGACTAAAAATCCAAGTCAAAGGCATACCCGAAAAATTACAGTATAGTAAAATACATATATTATAATACATTATATTAAACATAAATTTCACGCTCGCTTTGCGTTGTTTCATATTCTATTTCGTGTAATCTGGGTCATATATCATCGCGTCGTTCAACAAGTAGTTATGTAATGTATTGGTTTTGAGAAGTCATTAGCGATAGTGTCACAGACCCTGTCAAGCTTCTGGCCCACGACATAACTGAAGTTATGCTGGCTGTTTATTGATCCATCGTCCAGATGCAAACAATGTTATAGAGTTTATTGTCTACCCCTTATTTTGAAGTTATTCTTTTGTTTCTTTATTAACTAATTGTTGCCTGCATTGCGTCTAATAAACGTTCCATGTCTATTAACGCAGATCAAACTGCCATAACGTAATCTTTTTTACATCACAGTGGCGCGAGAGTTACATATTGCTTTGACCAATACCATTTCCCTTCTCTTCATGCGCACTTTTTTGCCAAGAACAAACATGTCTATCACCTGGTAAAGGTGTGATACGTTGCACTGTAATGTCGGAGAAATTAACCATAACTGGCTTTTCCAGCACATACCCTTAGCGTTTACGCAATATAATCCATCCATTACAAATATATATATTGTCGTGCTACGTTCCATCATCGGCAATACGTCACATCGGGGAATGCGGAAACTCGGGCCGGGCGAGCAAGAAAGCAGAAGCGAAAATAGCCAGGATAAAAATAAAAATTAAAAAAAAAAAAAAGATTAGATCCTGCTTGTTTGTTTCTTTACGAATCTCCAAACGTCAGGCTTACAACAACAAACAGATTAAAAACCTAATATAAACAAATGGAGGATATCATCCGATATACGATACCAATTACTATTAATGTATCCAATCTAGGTTTTACAATCATAACTATAACTGCTCTGCATATCTATCATTTAGCATTGTTTTGTACAAACAATAATTCTATTCCAACGTATGCGGGATATCATGTTTATTGCGGTTGGTGCTTATCGAGAAATTTTAGTAGATATATTTTTAGCAGATTCACGCTAGACAAAAATAGAACCAACCAACGAAGTCAACCATTGTGCATCAAAGTCTTTGTCTAAAAGTAAAGCGTACAACTCATTGACTCATCGCCACAGCATGTTCTGACAGCTTCGCCATATTCCGCTTATCTAGAAAGGACGGTGATAGAGCATGACTCGTTACAACAGTAGAACATAACCACCATGCGCAGGTACAGCCACCTTTTTTGTATGCACGTCGTACGAGCAAGGGAGAATATAGATCGTCGATCTGCAAAAAAGAATAGCAGAGTAGAAGAAATGTGCTTGGTTTGTGCTTTTTTTCTCTCAGTGTAATAACTTTAATTGCAAAAGATATTAGGATTTTCAGTGTGGCAACATTTCTCCTGTCCAACCACGGATTTCCCACGTTATGCCCTCGAATATGCGTTGTTTATGTCATCACGCTGATTTGATCACCGTGCAACGTGCAGACAAAGAACAATTAATTTGGTGATAATTTGTAATCGCCTAATTGTTGAAATGCATAGACCCGCTTGGAAATAGACAGAATGGATAGGGCTTTGACGTTACATATAATGAACTAAAAATAACCCTGAATGTTGATAGTACATTAGAATGCAAACAAAACAACAAAATTTATGATACGGTGTTGTAGTTGTATGAGCCACATTCAATTTTGGCATGTCAATGAAAAAGCATTACATAATGCTGTAACACCCATTAATAGCATGGGATCGCACGATGGATGCGGATCAATCAGTTGCACCAAATTCTACTTTGGATAATCTATACTATCACGTGGCAATTGATATGATAGTCAACAAGAGAGATTAGATTGCGGAAGATTAGAGGACGATATTCTTGGAAACCACGTAAACAGCCCTAGTTCAAAGGTCATATGAGAACATGATTAGTCAGTACAATATATATGATAACAATGACGGTATCAGCGATTAAATTCATTGAAGTAACACACTTATCTAATCTAATTAATCAACCGTTTGACATGTTTCATATCGTAGAGCGATAACTGTCATGACAGTCAATGGAGTATCCGTTCTTAATGATACTCAATCCTAACGATATATCCCCCCCCAATATTATTTTCTCTACAACTCTTCACACGTGACCTCAATTATATAATACTTATCTAACCATTCATTAATGCAAAGGTCAACCAATCAAACGTGCATTAGACATGATAATAATTTATCCATTATCCGGAAAATCTGTTGATCCGCCCCTGGAATAAGCAAATAACGTGGCTATCGTTTCATAACAAAAAAACCGTTAAAGCGTTTCGTTAAGGAAAAAAACAACAAGTAACTGTACGGTTAAGTGACTAATACCCTGTTTCAAGGATACTGGTTTCAAGGGTTTTTGACTTCATAAGTATGGATAAAATAATAAAGACAATTCTAGTGAATATCGGTCCACACCCCCCCCAATCCTAAATTACATTGCATACGTTAATAGGTTACGTATCCCCGGTGAACTTGCATGTCTTACTTGTACACATTCACGTAATATTCGGTAAAAAGTAATGAATAAATTAGAATTTGTTACATGCCGTCATTGATGCTTGCATGCTGGATGTAATTATTACTTTGCTCGTTAACTGCAGTATGACGTTTTTGACATGCAACAACATATATTTTTTTAATAAACCCAATACAGTCTCGTAGCATTTACTTATCAAGTTGGAATGTTTAAAATTTTACGTTTGCACGCAAGATAATTTGCGTCATTACCGTCAGATTTTGCTACATCTTTAACCCTCACCTGTCATAGATGACTGTGACGTAATACAGTTATAAGCACTATTATGTAATGAGGAGCATTGCATTCTTTTGCATCGTTTGATGTTCGCGTTCTTTATTAGACGTACAATAAAAGCTAAACTTGATTCTGTCGTCTAACGAATTAATTCTTCATTAGTTTGAGACTAACATACTATTGGACACGAGTGCATAAACATGGAAAAATGACAACATATGCAAGGATATGCAACTTGTCATTAGGTGAGGTGATTACTTCTCGTAACGCTTGCTAGTCAATATATGTATTCTACAATTACGAATGAATCGTGGTTAACTTGATTCGTACGTCAAGTCTCTGTTTTTTATTGAAAGATAAAAATGGTTTCATAAATACAACTATTTTTGTTAGTTGAAACAATCGAGAGAATAGCCTTTGTTATTACAAATAGATTATTAAATACTCTGTGGCTTATTTATGTGCAGATTATTGTTTATTATAAATTTATAAATAAACCTAACAATTAACATAATAATAACAATAAACGCAAACCTGCCACTATGAATGGTATTCGTATTGTTATGGACATTTCGTATTACGATATGTCCTTCTATTTCGCATTCTTTATTTAGGAGTAGATTGTTATATTTGTACCAAGATGTAAATAAGAGCCATTGACTTAATTATCTTTCATTACTGATTTTATTGGATAAATTTAGCTCACGCAATCATGGAGACTTGTAACGTTGAATCAAACAGACGCGAAAACAGAATTTTGGAAGACAAATGTGATAACTAGAATAACAATACTAACATTTTTTTTGTTTTTATTGGTTTATATACCACTATTTTATCGATATATGTTCTTTTCGTTATATAATATTATTGCAGTCCAAGTATGTTATGCCCGAGTCACTTAGCATATACTCACGTAAGACATAGATAGACAAGACAATCCCTATTGAACCTTATTGATAATAGACGCAGTTGTTAAGAACAAGAGAAGGTGAACCCGACTCACATTGGTACTGGCATATCTTATAAGAGTTTCGTACCAGTCATGAGTTTAGCAAATGGATGATCAATCGACAGGATTATGCATAAGTGATAAACTACAAGTTTTCTCATATACCGCATTAAAACATTAGACAAAAACAAGCATTCAGCAAAATGCTGACTAATGGTTACATTACCATGGATAATAGAATACCACCGTCGTCTTAATTAAAATAACTGAGCGATGGACACAAAGTTTCAAGGAAGGTTAGCTGAGTAAAGCTATACAAATACGATTTCTTGATTTAGACATTAACACAATTGAGTAACGTCAAAATCAAAAGTAAGCAACATTATTAGCCATTGCCGAATAACACAAGATGCAGTAATATTACACAGGATAAGGTTCTCACGCTAATCATTGTGCATGAATAGCAATCAGACCATAAGCGATCGAAGACATATGAGTGGATGGAGAGTTGAACACAAATTGATTAAGTAAAGTCGATTAATTGGCCGTGTCTCTGAGCGGTGAGTACCGGCATTATATCGGCCGAAACCCGTGGTGGTTACATAAGGGGCTTTTAAATTAGAACTTGCAGAATGATTCAAATGTGAAAAATTTTAAACATGAAACTTTGCAACAGTTGAAACAAGAAAGTGGTCAAGTATTGGTGCACTTTAAAACCAACAATGCTATTGTATGCAAGTTTTGAAATATGCTCATTTAATCTTGGGGGCAATTATCAGTCAAATTAAACACAAGATGTCTTGTTGACTTTACAATGTCCAGTCTCAAAAGTAATGCGCCAACGTTTGCTGCCTACGATAAACGCGCACAACACTGGAGGCATGCTATAACAAAAGTTAACGTTAAATTGTCTAGTTATTTTTGCTCATATTAAGTTAAACCAAAAGCTAGTATTATTTTTTGTTAATATCTGTTAAATATCAAGGCTAATTTACGAGTCGAACAAAATTTATTTCAAGAACGCCAAAATTAAGATAAACTTTGAAACACAAATCGAAGTGTCTTTGTTATAAGCAAGTACTTTTTTAACCGCCAGATCACATTCTGAAAAAGAATTACGGCATTTACAGATTTTATAAGTATTGTTCTTATTCTTTACTCTGGCGCAAATGTAAATATTTGTTTTTGCTAACAATATTATAATCAATATTATTACATTGCTCATTAAAATTTTTTACGCTTTATTCTTATTAACCTATTATTAATTCAGAAAATTTTTTTGTTTAATAAAAACTTGGATCCAATTAATACTGGTAAATTTATTTGCTCAACTTTTTTTTTGCAATTAGAGATTGTATTCGATGATGCAACCACATTGTAAAGTAGGCAGCAGAGGTTATGCAAAGACTAAAATTACTTGCAAGACAGACATTCTTTGTAAAGCGTCACCATTAATTGTTATATAGTTTTTGCATTTAACGGATACTATTTTTATTGTAGTTTGGTGTGGTATTTCGTAACGCAAATCTTTATAACAATGTACTAGACTCTCAACTTTTTGCGCACCAAAAACAGTTGCCAAAAAATTAACAAGGCATTTAATCCATTTTACCACAGAAATTGTTGAAGCAAGAAACAAATGTTGAGAAGGATAGAAATGCAATAGAAGCGAGAGATAAAATCCAACGCGTTTTATGCGGTAAAAATGAGTGGCAAATATATACAACTTAATTTTAAAATCACGGTATTACTTTATACACATACTTGAGTGACTTCAGAAAAATGTAATACTTTTGCAAATAGAAATTTTTTACTGTATAGAATTAATCCAGCATATTATTTAACACCCAGTATTTAGCAAGTGTCATCTTAATGAAAACGTATTAATTTTCAAGCTTGGCTTCGTGCAGTATTAAGTTGTACAGGAGAGGGCATTATAGCATATCTGACCTGAAAGCTTTCATATGGAGAGAGAGAAATTATAAACTTAAAATATCACTTATCACAAATGATCGAATATTTACAAGGTTTACAAATATTTCTTTATCAAGGCTTAAGACATACACTCACCGGCAGGCCGAATCGACACTTCTTGCCGGTGAGTGCATAAAGTTTAACATGCCTTTGTTCTCAATAATATTTCCAAGAATAGTCTTGGTGAAGTTTGTGTCAATAATAGTATGTGGTTAAAAAGATAAACATAATGTTGGTGGTTAGCGAGGGGTTTTCTTGCTGCCAATTTTGCTACGTGATCCACGGGTTACTTAGTATTATGCCAGTCTCTCGTGCTCCTATTATACGATATCAACTGTGTATAGATAAGCATTCCCAATCTTCAGGAAGACAAGAATATTATTACGTTACCTGTGCGATTGTGAGTAAACATGCTTTGCGTTAACGTTGCCTCGTATTCCGTTACTCTATACTCAGAGTAGTTGACCCTCTGCTAGCATTGAATATCTCTCTATTCGATAACAAAATCTAGAGGACCATACTTAACTATAAACTATTGGACTCATAATCTGAATGCGAGATAGTATGGTAACTGACGCCATCCCAAACAACTCCGTCGGTCCAGATAGTAATATCACATTCGTTAACCCTGAACACCGCTGAACCAATAGTTTTCCAATACGACAAAGCTTCACATTTGTAAAAAATTATAAGCAATTATTACTATTATTTATTTTCAAACTTTTTATTACTAAGTAGGTTTAGAATTAATTTTATTTATATTATACTGGTGCACAAATCATCACTGGTCATTTTCATTGCCAATTATTCTTTCACTTTCAAAATCTGGGGCATACTTTTTTGATCTCCAAATATACAGAAGGACAGCAGTCTCTCGAATATCAATTGAATATCATCGACAATCACGCGATTACCATTAAATTAATGAAGCCATATCATTATGAACGCAATTGCGGACTAGCTTATCAATTGCTCTTCCTTATCTAACGTTGTAAATGTTCCATTTTTGACGACATATAACTATCTATTTAGTTATTTGTTTGTCGTAAACAGCTTAGTAATAACATATTTGGTGCTCTGATTATAATATTATTTACGTTGTTAATGTAAACTGCGGGGGTTACAAATAACCAATTTATCCACGCAAATTTACATGGGTATAATAGTGGGTGAAAAAAGAAAAGAAACGTTTAAAACTTTAAACAAAATTGACTAAACAAAACTGCCGTGTATCAAAGGTTTAGAAGAGCACAGTTTAAAGTCAGATTAATAAAATGGTCGCAATTCAAATTATTAGTAGAGTTTTTGTATAATATTTGGAAACAGGTGGCCTGGGTAACTTAATGGAAGGACCCTTAATATTATACGACTTAATCATCTTCGTATGTTGATTGCACAATCAGGTTTGGAGAGAATCAACAATTAAAAAACAGATAGCTATTAGACGAATGGAAGATATGTGATACGTTAACAGCTAAATAACACGGAGCCCAAATGCTATATACTGGTGCAGGTATAGTGAAGATAAATGTGAAAACCACATCTACAGATTGAATGTAATCTCCGTAGAAGTAATTCGACGACGTGGTACGAGCAGAATAACGGTTAATTTGTAAGTAAATATTAATATATTGGTTCTACCGATTATGAAATGCAACACATTCTTGAAAGAAAAGTTTAATAATAGTGGATATTATTTAATAACTTCTGGGAAAACGTTTTGCCAATTCTATGAGATTTTCTAATCTCGACAAAAACCATTTTTAATAAAAATGGCGTGCATGATAGGAAAATCTGATGAGAAAACTCATATGATAACAACCCTATTGAGCTAAAGCTATAATGATTTGATTAAAACATATTTGAACATAAAATATCTAGCCAATAACGGTCTTATGGTGGAGAATGATGTTCGAGGAATTTTGAAGGAACAGCATATTTAAAACGTGATACAGATATGTAAATTAACACGTCAGATTCAATTGCAAATAATCCTCCTCCGGATATCTACTAACGTTAGTTAATATAACTTGTAACAATGGTGCGATGAAGCACATAAGGGCCGTAATTACGAATTATAGAAGCGAGGAATAAAAACGTGAGAACATAAAGTAGGATGGCTAACTACAGAAAAATGTTGGAAATTCAGTTGAGATGGGTATTCCAAAATAAATTATAATTGTCTTTCTCTCACGTAATGGCGCACACTCTCTCACAACCACTTCTATTGCTAGTTCACGCTAAACCAGTTTACGGATATCTATAATTGAACAGTAAATCCTAAGAATGTGTACCTTTCACTAATTCATATTGACTTTTCGTTTCCTCTCTCCTGGCTTCGAAGAAACTTTCCAAAGTGTCCACACGTACGACATCGTGTCTTCCGGCAAATGGCTATCAATATCCGATATTTAATTTAATTGTAAACAATAGATCGATATCAATAATTTAGCCAAATAAGCATAAGATCTACATTATACAAACATTTAATAAACAATCGCCATATGACCAATAAACAAAAAACCACTGCCTTAGTATATAATTAATAATACTTCCCATACAAGTAATTTCGTACCAATAACTATGGTAACATTAAACAATAATAGCGCAAGAGAACCATTAAAGAAAAAGCGTCTAAACAAAGACGGTTTTCATTCTGGCATAGAAAGAACAGAGATTTTGAAAAAGCATAATATCAGTTCATTTTGGATTATTTTCGCGTATCTAATACGCAATGCCACAGTCAAATATTAAGTTTATCAAACATAATGCATTTAACACATACACAAAATAATTTATTATATTATTAAACGTTACAAGAGGACCTTCATAAACTTAGGAAGACGTTTCGATACTTAAGTAAATTGAGCCAAAACTTAGATAGCGATTTATATAATAATATAAATTAACTAACCTACGCTTAAGAATAGTACAATCATAATTGCTATTTTTTTCGTTCTTTTATTTTCATTCATTTCGCAGTAGTTTAATATGCAAATCTCGACGTCAACCAACCATAGTCTAACAAGTCTGCATAAACAGGTGGGGAGAGCGACATTTAATTAGACACTGTGGTGATTATCAACTTATAAACGCAGTGACTGTATGATCGAAATTATTAATAGAGTTGGTTTCTAATGATAGTAAAGCAATTAAACAAGTAATTACTATCGGTGCGAAAAAAGACTAAATTTGAGAGCAGGTGGATCCGTTGCTCACGTCATGTATGACGGATTTGGATATCTCTCAATATATGAAAGTAGAAGCCAGAAGACAAATAATTGCAGAAATTTGTTTACTGTTTATTCCTAGTGCCCTTTTTGAGGATATTAATAAAACGCTCAACCTCTTTACCAGGCATACATAACTTGAGTTACGGCTTCGTAGCTAACATAGATAGCCCTTGCCAGAAGCGCTGATTAATTTAGAGAATTAATTCCCGTACCCACAACGATTATTTGTCGCCCATACAGACGTTGAATGCTCATAACACTCCATCCATACGATGAGCTACGTGACTACCTATTCCTTATGAAGAGATAAGCAGTTTAATCTAGCATGATTATGTGGTTCACTTTCTTCATTAAAGTCTGGTAATATACGCAAGAATATTATCCGAATATGAAAAATCGAATACGAAAAGCCGTGCGTTTCTTGAGATAAGTTGCGATTGCGGTTGCTCAAAAGTGATTCCGAGAAAGTTTGCCGAATTACGTGAGATTTTTCAAGCTCTCTCCGGACCTGAGAAATATAGTTTTGATAGCCCTGCTGAAGCAATGGGTGGTGGAATAATAAGTACCTAAAAAAGAAAATGCGTACTAATAAGAGAACGGTTTACTACTGAGATCGCAATATTAATATACCTCCCTCTTTATTATTATAGGACTTACCTGACGGCAAATGGTGTAATCACCACGTGTTCATGGTAATATCAAACCAAAATATCCCTTACGCCATATCTTTCCCTTCTTCACCTCCCACTGCCATCTTCTTTATTCCCCTCTGCATATTACAAGCTTTAGTAGTTTGGAAATAAAATAACCATTGACAAAGACGTTGCTCAAACGCCAATGCAAGAACTCAGACAAGAAATACGTAATTCCGTAAGCAAAACGCAAACACAATGGTCAATCTATACAACCAAATAATACTTGACTTTAGTGGTATGGTTTTGCTTAAAAATTGGATATGAAAACTGATGATGTTTTTTCCCTATTTCCTTTAGATCTCAAGCATGACTAGCCAACTCGAGAATTGCGAGCCTTCGTAGACTATTGTTAAGAATGTTTTTCATATTAAAAAAAAAAAAAAAAAAAAAAAAAAAAAAAGTCGATCGAATTACTTCAAAATTCTGCCGACCAGAGTTACGCGGTCGCATATGCTATGAAGGGGTTGACGAAGAATATGCAAAAGCGGTTACAGCATACCGAAAAGCCGCCGACCAAGGATATTTCGCTCTTTCCAACGATCATTATTGGAAACCAACCATCAGACTGGAATGTGTATCTAAGCAATGAATAGTTTACTGCCTTTATTTTGAAATGTTCTCAAACCATTTAATACTTGAATGCATTGCTTGATGACATATGTGAAAAACTTTTTGACCTCTCCTCCATCTTGCTCTTAGCTATAGATCTCTCCACCTATCCTCTTCCTTGGCCTTCTATATCTTGCATCTCTTCTCTCTCCTCACTCCTATAATACCTATACCTCCTCTTCCATTACATCTTCAAAATCTATAGCTACCCTCTTTTCTACCTTAGTTGTGGGATCTTATAACCCTCCCTCATTATTGCATGTCTGTCTTTAGATAGAGTTAAAATGAGGTTTAACATGTATATGTAGTTCAGCAATAAAGTTGTACTTATTGAAAAACTTTTTGACACCAGTTTTGAGTTCAAAAGATATTGGATCCTCACATTTGTGCGAAAGCCTAATTTATAATATGATTTATTATTATAGAAGCAGAAATTGTCATTTGATTCCCTAAATCAGTTAGTGTTCACATGAAAGTTTGTTATTTTATTATTATTATTATTATTATTATTATTATGTCACAGCATCTTTTGATGAATCACTCCAGAAAATTGAAGCTAAACCACAATTTATACCCATATAACCTCATTCCAACCAATAGCCTACAGATATGTTCAGACATGATGGGACTTCACCAGTGACTGTTGAGAGACTGGACAATCATATTCTTAGGATGGCAAGTACACAAGAAATGGATATGTACCAACTCAGAATATTTCTAAAAGAATTGAATAATCAGAGACTCTTATTCCTAGAAAATCTTGCTCTAAAAATCTTCATTTTATTCCATCCTGAACTACCCACTGCCCTTGTTGTTTTGTCAAAATTCTCCCCTTAACCATAACCTTTTTCCCTTGGAAAGCAATTCCACATTCTACAAGCTTCTGGATATGTTCTGAGCATGCATTCTGACTGATGGTCTTCAATCTGCTTCAATGCATCATCTACCCTTTTTTCAATATTCTCACCACCTTATATTCAAAGATAGCTACACTGGCATTGGGTATTTCTGATTTCTTCTCAAGAAGTTTATCATATCATCTGAAGCCTGCAAGATCATTTGATCGAATATTGACTCCTCATTTGGTTGCCTCAGTTAACAGGCCAAGCACAAAGCCATGGTAGAAATCTTCTGCTTTCTTGCCTGACTTTGATCCACCAATGTTGAAGATTGACATCTGTTTCATGACCACGTGCACTTTTGCAAACAATTTTATGTTGCCTTCCAGAATAGTTTGCACCAATGAGGTGAAGTGGAGAGGCTTAACCAACCTTCCCATTCATTCATCACTTCTTTGTTAGGGACATGCAACTCTTTGGGTCCATCTGATTCAGGATCAAGCTTGGTATTGGTTGCTGTGAGATAGCCCATATAGTAGAGCAGGCCAAGCATCATAGATTTCTAGGTCTTCATAAGAGAGATCTGGTGCAATAACACCTCAAATCAATTTCCCATCAATTAATTTTTCTGTGTTATCATGGAATTGCTCACTTGAGTACCAAAGCATCTTTTTGATTGCACTGGTGCTTCCTGTTACATTATTGAAATAGTCATTAGCTACCATATGATTAACTTCACCAAGTTATTAATCAAGACTTACCAGTTTGATGTAAATTAGTTTCATATTTATATTTTTATATACACTTAAAAATATTGTAATTCAAGTAAAAGTCTATCTTAATCAACCTGAATGTTAATTACATTTGGGCATCATATAATAATAACTTAAAACTGTAATTTACATAAATTTGTTTATAGGTTACAGCTGTGATAATCAAAATGTTATTAGCCAAGTTAATTAACTTTCAGCTGCATCAGTCTCTCATTTATGTCACATAACAGAATGTTCACTTTGTTTGGTTTTGTTGCAGCATGCCCCATATGAATATAGAAAAAAAAAAAACAAAAACAAAACCTAAAGGACATTTTTTGGCTATTACACAGATAGAAATAAACAATTTCAGACTCAATTAAGCTGCTAATTTGTATATTGATTTTGTCTGGAGTGTGTCTATGTCTTGTAAATATTCTGATCATGAGTTATAAGCCAGCAGGTATTGAAAATTATTATTATATATATATATAATAGTGCCATTATTATTAAATAAGTACTCATATCATCCTAAACATTGGTAACAGTCAAGGGAAGTTTGTCATCAAAATGATTTTCAGAAAAACAACATGATCAGCCAAATCTAAGTTTCCATTGACATAAAAATCGATAAATCCCAGCAGAGTGAATACCTGTCTGGACTGGTTGTTGCACAGCCATTGTTGCAGCCTGGTATCACTCCATTTGCCAGGCTCTTTCTAACAAGCATTGCCATTGGTAAAGACTGATAGACGCATGCGAGGCACAGGAATCCGTCGAAATTTCCGCATGATTGTATTTTAAGTTTTCGAGAATTAACAATTTTAGATATTGCTTGATAATAATCACGTGAAATTATTTCCATTTTTGTCACAATGTTTTCGCGCATTTATTACTTTGACACTAACATCAACGTCTACATCTATATATAGCACTTTACAAAAGTATCAGAAATTACTGTTGAGTATTTTTTTTTCTATTAAGAGCTTTTGATCACACCAAGGCCTGGGTTTCGGCCTAGCAACTACATTTTAGCTCTGTGCTCGAATGGATCTCTCTGTTCTGAACGAGCTGAGAACGGTGCTGATTGTATGGACCGCAGTCTCCAGTATTAGCCGCCAAGTATTGATCGCAGAAACAGTGCTGCTGTTTGGCTACATTTTTTTGTTAATTGCTTGTCAAATAACTAGTTTAATTCAGCTAATGAAATCGGTTTACGAGCATTTTCACTATAATTGGACTATCTGAAGCTTGCCCTTGAGAAACTGAAAGAATGGGATGATAGTAAAATTGCTCAGAGAGCGATCAACTTGCTGAATCGGCAGGCGGTAAATTGTTCTGCTAACGAATGTGCACACAGCATTGCAGTTAATTTTTAATAATTCAATGTGTCTATTTCGTTCCAAGAAGCTTGAACAAGTATTATACAATATTTACTTAAGACCTGCAATTCTTAATCGCCTTTACTCATATAACTCGCTGTTTTGATTAGGCAAGTCATATTCGCGCTCTCACGACAACTCTCAGAAAATGCATGAGAATATGATGCCATATCATGATCAGGCGATCAACCAACGGATATTGAAAAACAAACGAGGAATTTGATTCTTGATTATATAACAAAGTCCAATAGGTTTGAGAATGAAAAGAGCAAACATTCTTTATAGGGTTTCAAGTAATTTGATGTCATATGTTCACTTGTCCATAAGATTACAATCTAGTATTTGTCAAGTTCGAGATCTTTTTACAACACATATACGCAATTGTTATAAACTAATTCTGTAAAATTGTAAGTCTAATTGTTCAAAATTTGTCATAAATACGTTTATTTATACAATTTGCAACCGTTTATGGTAACATTTGTCGAATTCTAAAAAATGAAACGTAACGAGTCCACTCTACCTACATGGCCTCGTTAATTATCTCAAATGCCTTTTTATACACATCAAGCATAGTTTTACATTTCTGTCTCTCGTTTGCGAGATTCTCATCCTCTTGTAACAGATCAGAAAACAATTCCTCCTTATACAACTCTGACACTAAGCGGTTCTGGACGGCTTCACGCGAGTAATTAACAAGAAGGTGCATGATGGATTTAGGTACTAAATCCTGAATTGTCTTCCGAACAATATTAAAATATGATGTAATCAAGGAGCCTAGAATGATGAAATATTATTGTGCAAGAATAATCAATATTTAGCATATCCACGATATAAATTACAAGTCGCGAAAAGTCTAATTCAGAATGACTTACGTATAAGCTGCGCTTCCATTTGTTCCCGCTCGGTTAAATTTGAATTGTCATCGGATAGCGACGTCTATCGTATTAAACGAGCAAACATCAGTTAGAAAGCTCGCTACCCCGGCGTGTTGTCATCATGACAGTTAATGTCATTTTCATCTTTTTCTATTTCAATGCTGTATACTCTTTCCCACACGTACACTATCAAACTTCTTCTCCAATTCATCCATATCCATAGGTATGGCCTTAGAATACACACTGGATCGGCCACTGCTTCCCTGATCAGGTATTACGGTACGATCTGCTTTGTTGCCACTCCCAAAAAAGTATGTAAGAAAACTTTCACGTTGAGACCATGAATTAGAACCAGACGATATCCCGTTTAGGCTGTAATCTCGCATATGGCTATCTGTATAAAGATCCGAATTTGAAGAAGTCTCGAGAGCATCATCTCTTGATGAACTTGTTAGGCCGTTGGTGGCTTTTTCATTGTGAGACGCATTGCTCAAATTAGCTGTCTGTTTTCGATAGTAAGTACAATACCCCAAATAAAAACAATTAAGTAAAATTCGAGGTAGGAATCCACACATTTCGTTTGTTTAATTACCCGTCTCTGGTGTTTCTCGACATCCCTTCTTTTTTTTTCATTCTGTTTGACTATATCCGATATAGCCCCACCTCCACCAATGAAATCAGGATGATTAGTATTGATGTATGCTCGTTGAATGGCAACAAGACTCTCGACATATTCCGTTGTCGGGGGTAATCGTTCGCGTAACAAGTCAGAAACTACTTCAAGAAGTTTAGCATGTAGTCTTGGAAATTGATCAAGCTCCTGCTGCCCAATGTTGACATTATTTAGAAGAGTCCAATTTCATTACCAAAAAGTACCACATGACGTTAGTATCACGGAAATACCTTACTTCCACAGTTATGACATATTTTTATCAATTCCTCGTAAACAAGTTCAACGCATCGAATACTTGGCGGTTCTAGCAATTGTATCTGCGGTCTAACCAATAAGTCAAACGCTATTTCTGGAACAAAAAGAAATGGTCGCGGACCAGTGGAATTACGAATAGCCGTCCTTATGTCTTGTATACTCAAATTGTAGCCGGGTTGAATAGAGTCTAAAGCAGCACCAAAAACGTTATTGAAAATATAATATATTCGTGCGCCACCTGATCTGTATGATACAAAACGAATAACGTAAGTCTCAATTGTATTGTACGATAATAAAGTATTTGGTAAACCCACAATTCTTTAGTTGATATTTCTTCTGCAGTGCCGTCAATGGATGCCATGAAATCAAGTGCGAATTTGTTGAGAAGTTTTAGTATCAAAGCAGCCTAGATTCAAAATTGGTCATGTTGTTGCATCAGATATCTGAATTAACATAAGTTACAATTGATAATTATCATGACAAACCTTTTGAGCTTTGCCAGTGAGTGCACCATCTCCATACAATCCAAGCTCTTGTTGCGTTTGTGAAATAAGAGCATTGATCCGTGCCTTCATATCAGGTAATCTTTCTCGAATATGATTCATGAGAATCTTAAGATGCAATCGATGTATTTGTCGATGTGAGCCAATCAAATTAGCCATAATTCCTACTATGAGCGCGAATTTTCTACATTATAAAGTCCTATCTTATAACTACAACTTCTCATTTACGCATTATTCATATTACAGCCTACTCATCCATAATAATACCATTGTAAATATACGTCAAAGCGCTACGTACGATATTCAAAGTCTTAGCCAGAAAGGGCGTTCCACATCTCGAGGAAATGCTCCGATACGCAGGATGATGTTTAAAGAACTCTACTTCTGCCTTCAATGCCTCTGTCATTGGTTTATTGGTGGCAATGTCATGTTGACTACGGTTGACAACGCCAATAAATCCGAGTTTAAGCGGATAGACACGTCCCGTGAGAATATCAAGTGCGTTGGTGCCCGCGTCCATCAAATCTAATTTAGTCAAGACGCCAATAGTTCGCCGACCTAAAATTTCAAATGGCACATGAGACAACCAATTGCAGAAGGAAAAGACGATCATGCGAGCAAAGCAACGAGTTTCCAGACAAACCTTCTGAATCAACTTGCTTCGCAAGTTTTAAACTTTCAGAGTTGACCAGATCTACATTCGCCGGACTAACAGCCAGAATTATACTGAAAGAGACAAAATTTTACCAAGGTTACGATGAATTACATCCTCCCAATGCTTTCAGTACATGGAAAACCTATAAAGAATGCTTGCTCTTTTCATTCTCACAATGATATCAAACCTATTGGGCTTTGTTATATAATCAAGAATCAAATTCCTCGTTTGTTTTTCAATATCCGTTGGTTGATCGCCTGATTATGATATGACAAATTCGTTAGATGTTCTGTATATAGCTCCCAAAAAAAATAATAGTTGCTTACCAACAGGAATCTAGAATGCAAAAAGCCCAAGGTACAACCAATTTTTTATTACGCTCACGCTGCCATCAAAATCAATTATTTTCATTATACGTACGCTACCTTCGTCAATCCAGGCAAATCAACCAGTGTCAAATTCAATACTTTGGAAGAGAATATCTTCAGATGAATAGGCGATTTTGAAATCCCTTTATTCTGACCAGCGACTCTTGCCGTCTCGGCTTCTATCTCTTTCCTAATCTCCACAAAATCGGTAAATTTTTGAGCAGGCGCGTGTAGGAATTCGCCATATTCTTGTGTCGTAGAGTCGTCGGATTGTGATATGTTTACAAGCTGAAGAACTAACGGACGGCGAGTAATGATTCCATTCCCTCGCGGTAGAAAATCACGTTGAACAATATTTTCAAGAACAGAGGATTTTCCAGAAGATTGTGAGCCTACTACAATGATCTGTGGTAGATCCACAGTTTCACTGCCGATCGTATTGAAAACGTCTTGGAGCTTATTTACCAAAGGAATAAGATCATTCATGTTGGTAGTTCTTATAGAGGAACGGTTTAATAACTAAACGTTGTTATATATTCTAGACTTTCTGGCAAAACGGTAAACAAGGAAAAACCTCATAAGAACGAAAATAAACAAATGTGACAAAACAGTTGTACTACAATGGTCTATGTTACACACCTTGCGCCACTGCGTAATACAAATGCAAAGATCGTCGTGTAAATTATTACTGACAATATGTTTACTCTTATTTCTTGTCGCAAGTCTGACTAAAGCAAAGAATTATAAAAGAATTCCCGAGAATAATTCCATTATCTATATATGGCACCAGACATATCGAAATCCCTGCCAAAATCAGTAACAGAAAACGATCTTGAGCACTTTCGGCAGGAATGGCGTGCAGAAGTCGAACTCAGAAAGTCTCGTGCGCAGCAGCTCGATGATCATTCGAGCCAGGCTTCCAATGCAAGGGACAACAGGCTGCATGTGGACGACTCGACGCAAACTACGACTTTGAGCCTTGAGAATATAGAGCATTCTTTTCTAGAGTTGAGCTTGAGTGAACAGTTAAACAGAGAAAAGAAGGAAGCAGAGTGTGATGGTGTCCCCAGGACTGCATTGGAATATTATGTCCGTGCTGTTGCTAATGAACGAGAGGGGAACTTGAATGAAGGTAGAGATTGAGACGTAGGAAATGATGTTAACTTATACCTTACTGTCGGGTAATTACATTAACATGGTTTATTATTGTTTCTAGCGATAAAGGGCTATAAAAAAGCGATAGCACTTGATTCCGACATCGAACATATCTATCGTAATCACTTTAATGTCGACTCCCGTGACTCTCAACTCGAGAATCAGACACTATCCAACCAACGTTTACCTCAAATAGACGGTGATTCGCTCTTACCCCCCGGATATAGCGCTGATGAGCTCGGCTATACTAGTTCCTCCCGCTCTTCAATATACACGTACATGAATTCGCTCCTTAATTCCTTTCATGAAGGCTCATTAGACTATATTCCTCTCAAACCCAATAGTATTGTGCATATATCCAAATTACCTAACGAATTAATAGTAAATATTTTGAAAACATTGATCTTTGAAGATGTGAGGGGTGTTACAAGGTGCGCATTGGTATGCAAGAAATTTTGTTTGTTATCATACGAGAATTCTGTGTGGCGATTCCTGTGTGAGATTGCACATTGCGGGTGGAACTTGTCTCTTACTGCGTCCACTCTGGTGTTAAAGAAGGACGTATTGAATTACGACAACAATTGGAGGAGAATGTTTATTGAAAGGTTGGCAATGGGTTTGGTGGCGAGTTGTTGAAATGAACTGTAGATTGCTGATATGATCAATTTTTAGACCCAGAATACGATATGATGGGGTATACATATCCAGATGCGCATATCCAAGGTATTCTATCAATCAATGCTAAGTGAAGAGACAAGCATAAGGATCATATTAGTTTTGCGTAAATCAACATTGATTATTATAATATCTTATTTTGAATTAGAGCGGGCTCTGATGAAAATGCCTGGACTCAACCGATTCACGTTGTAATATATCATCGATTCCTAAGGTTCTATGCAGACGGTAGTTGCACTAGTTTGTTGACTACCAGAGAACCGAAATCGGTTGTTTACACATTAGGACCTGATTTCAGGTCAAAACAACTCATGGCGGGCCAGTGGGGATTCGATGTCGAGAGTAGTACCGTCAACATTGAACTTAAAGATTTGGATCTCCCAAATCACACGTTTTACATGACATTGGAGCTAGAATCGACACATCGTGGTAAACACAACAAGTTACTATTGCATGGTAAGTCGCCAGACGACCATATTATATGACGCTATCTGCTGTTCATACAGTCATTAATTATATTAATGTATTGTTAGAGTATACGTGTGTTAATAATCTGACTAATTGTGGGGATAATGTGAAAATGGGCCGCGAGAGACCATTTTTCTTCAGCAGGGTAAGCTTATTAGTCAAATTGAGTTTGTTAACACACCAAATATTATCTAACGATTCAATTATAAACTATAGGTAGCCACATATCCTGTTGGGTGGTAATTAAAAGTCTTCAATCTGTAATGATTTAAAACAAGCTCTATTAATTTAAATTAAGCATAATAAATTCTACAACATTACATTACGACTCTATGGTTCACAAATGCAGCTGTATTTGTAAATGCTATCTATTAATGGTTGCTCCACTGTTCTTACTTGTTGACCAGTTTAATTAATTTCATTTCTATAATGCTTACTCCCCTACATGGCTTATTCTGCTAGTACCCCTCATTTCGCCATTATACTTTCTTTGTATTTTGTCATTCTCGGTTATGTATCAATCAGCATACCTTTCTTGTTTGTTTCATGAAACTCCCGAACTACAAATTAGGCACCACACATCACATGATTTCAGCCGAGCGCAGTGACAATTTGACAACGATATCTATCACTAAACACATTAGGACGTGTTACTAAACTAAAAGTGACGTGTCATTTGATTTTGTCAATATAAAAAGCTCGAGGAATATTATAAATTATGCGGGTTGCTTCTAGTGCCTGTCTCTCGTAAAGTAAATAGCATACCTTCTCCAAACTTTATAAAATCAGAACACAGCCAACTCTATCAAATACCGACAGACAACTCACAAGTATCAGCACAAGATGTCTGCAACATCAACATACACTCCTCCTATAGATTTAACTAGATCCCCAACGGGGAGGCGACGTAGAAGGCCAGGGGGAAGCGAAATAATAACAATAGACGATGACAGTGCACCCATGCGGACAACGACACACCCCACACCAGCGCGAAGGATACCCCCGATGCATCAGACAAGTAACCCCACACCCTTTTCTCCAGACAGTTTTGAAAGCGGATTGAGTCACAATCCTTCAAGATTGAATATTGGTGGTGAGTTTTTGAGAGGCTAAGTTGATGGTATTATTAGAGATAAGATGAACGAATGCTATTTCTCAAGCTTAGATGTTAAGAGCTGCAAATATCAATCATGAATATTTGACTATAAGGAGTAGTTCATATTATTTGCATCATAACATCTAAGTCCGCTATCTTGGCATTTGAAGTCCGATAACAATTATTTTCTTTCCTATTCGGTAACAGTGATTGTCAGCATGTTCTACCCTTTTTCTGGGAATCTGCATTCGCAATCACCACCTAATCCTTCGAGGCCATCATCAACACGCTCCCGTCGCGAAGGCACACCCCACATAGTACACGAAAGTCCTGACTTGGTAGAGCTGAGCACTCCTCCCCCTCGAAAGCCTCAGCCAGAAGAGAAACCCCCTCAACCCGGACATGTCGTGGATCTTGATGAAACCAAGATATTAGTGTGTTGTGAATGCGATCAGATGTTAGGAGAGAAACTGTGGACATTAAAATGTGGACATATTATTTGTGGTGGATGTGTTGATACTTCTAATAATTTAAAGAACAAAGTGTGCCCGAGTTGTGGGGCGAAAACAAGAACAAGTAATCTACAACAGCTTTATGTATAAGGTTTCTTTTACACTTTGTATTGTTACAAGTTTCTTTTTTTCAGAAAAGATATCCAAGGAAAGTTTATACATTTGTAAACAACGTGAAATTTATAACCAAATATATCGACATTGGTCAGATTATTTTACACGAAAAAGAAAAAAAAAAAGAGATAAAGCCACCAGCAAGATATAAACTAGATACTCAAAAACTTTTTGTTATGTTACTTATATATATATTTATTTCGGTTTCGTAGATATCTATTGGTGAGGTGGATACTTTACTCCCATGCTCTTGACATAAAGTTAAAGCAGACATCACAAACTATTCGTAGCAATGAAAAGTTCATACATATACAATGGTCTCTCCTAATTGTAAATCCTATACCCAAATTCTTTAATATTTGGATAAAAATAATAACTCATAGGCTTCCTTTTTTAACTGTTCCTACACGCGACTGCATTCGCCCAAACCCAACTTTTTCGAAATTATCTTGTTCTTCGAGCAGCCTTTCTTTCTGGTTTATTCAATCGTCTCGGTTGTAGTGGTGCCATCTGAGCAGTTGCTTTAGCTCTTTCTCGTTCCGTTAACTGCGGTGCCTCGTTAAGAGAAGGCTCATTTCTTGTTTGGGTTCGATCAAACCAGCCCAGAGAAAATACCGATTTCACCGATGAAATAGTATTCAACAAAGTTCGGAAGAATCCTCGAGGCTGGACTTGAGGATTTACATTCACCTCATCTTCGGTAATTGCATTAAGTGATGTGGATTGTGCATTAAGTGATGTGGATTGTACAGATGCATTAAGTGATGTTGATGGTACAGGTGCAGTAGGTGATATGGATTGTACAGGTTCGTTAAGTGACGTGGATGGTACAGATTGTGTTGTTGGTGTCACTTCCGCAGTATGCGACTCGACTATATCATCGTATATAATCGACGAGACTTCGTTGGTCCTTGGCGGATCGAAAATAATTGATGAAGCTTCATTGGCTTCCGGTGGATCGAATATAATCGACGAGACTTCGTTGGTCCCTGGCGGATCGAAAATAATCGATGAAGCTTCCGGTGGATCGAATATAATCGATGAGAATTCATCGGCTTCTGGGGGATCGAATATGGTCGCTAAGACCTCATTGGCCTCCGGCGGATCGAATACTGAAAAGGCATCATTGGTCTCGGGGGGGTCTAAATCTATGCTCTCTATTATAGTATTAATAGTCCTTTCTCCAGGCGAATCTATATCTATGCTCTCCATTACAGCACTAGTAGACCTTGTTCCTATATGAACCTTCTTCATTTTCGTTTCGATAATTAGTGCATCATTCTGTATCTCCCCATCGCTGTCCTCGATTTCAATAATCTCTATTTTTCGTGCTGTATTATCATTATCAATATCAATATCATTGTTCAAATGTGGCGCGCGTCCGACGCTTGTGTTACTTATTATTGGGGTTTTCACAGGTTTTGATAGTCGGATAGGAATTGGTACGGAGAACATATGAGAAATAAACTTAAAGATAGCTGGGAAAGCCGTTCCCGAAGTATATTCGTGCTTCGTATGTCCTGTGACAGGATAAATGTGAAATTCAAAGATAAACATATGATCATAACGTCTATTAATGGAGTGCGATTATTTACCTGCCGACAAGCACGGACACCCATAATTTGCTGCATCAGGAACTGGCGTATCCAACGGCTCGGGTGACTTGACCCAATTGATGGTAACGCGGGAAAACCATAATCGCAAAAATTCGGGTATAAGGGAAATGTTGTGGGCGCTGTCCGTGAGAGCGATGGCCTTGATTCGGTTACAGAATTCTTCGGCTTATTAGGAAAAAAAAACAAAAACGATATTTATATGGCGGGTTGGCATACATGCGTCTATAGTTAAAACGATGTATGTACTCACCAAGTTCCTTTAGGAGATTTGTGGTACAAAGACCACCAAGACTGTGTGCTATAATTACAATATCTTCCGCCGCCGTTGCTCTGCAAAACAAAGTAAAAATTAAACTCAATTACCTGCGGCTCTCACATGTTCTTTGTCCATTTCATCTAACACTAACCTTACAAAGTTCTTCCAAACGTAAAGGCTATGCTCAATTGGAGTTGCAGAACATTCTATGCTATGGCTTTCGGCATACTATGGCAGAAGATAGCTTAGTATATAAAAGCTTGTAGTAAGGTTGACAAATTCCAAATACTTACACCCTCTAAATTGTGTGTAGTTACAGAGTTGACGTTTGGGTTAAAGATTATGATGCCGAAATTTCGTTCTTGAGCCTTTTCAACGTACGGAAACATTGAACCTATCTGAAAGTAGTAAATGAAAGGCGGAAATTAAGTGCGAGAGAAAGAAGTATAACGAATTTAAAGGGTAAGTATAGGTGGATGCAAACAAACATAAAAATCATGAATATTTGTCATGCATATATGTTTTCATTAAATCTATCCATCAAAAGCCTCGTGTCGCATGTAACATGTTTTATTACCTTAAGAGAATCATTGATTATCACTGTGCGAGATAAAAAAATCGTCGTTAATTCTTTATTGTGCTATGAATATTACATAAAGCCAATTAATTACCTTGTCTAGACCATTGACCAGGGCGAACAACTCCGCTTCCCTGAATCAACAATATCAACTTTTTACATACATATGCATTGGAGCTGTCAAGTGATGTATTTATATTATAGAGTCATTATTACACTACTTCCTATTCATTATGTTCGCCCTTATGATTAAAGACCACTCTGATATTACATCTCCCTAAACTCTCTGATTCTTTCAAGTTTATATTATTATTCAATCCATTTTCTCGACTCCCATAGGGATAATTACTCATACTAACCTCAAGTAAATCGGACAATGGGGTATAGTCGGCTCATAGGCTGCTTCGACTGGCACAAATTGTTGAATCAACCCGTATTTTGACACAAGGAGATGCTCAACATGTTGTGACACGGCCTCTAGAGTGATTACGTACGATGGGTCAAAGTGAGTAGACATTTATTGGCTGAGAGAAAGGGAAATACGTGAACAAAACAACTCGAGTGTTTACCGCCTAACGCTTCGTAACGTGCTTGATTGTATTCTTGGTCATTTCTTCTTACGTCAAAGGCAAAACGTTCATCTGAGTGTAATTAACAGGCGCGATAACGCTTATTAGGTACAGCCAATTCTTCGATAATTGTATTCAATCGCTTGTTTGTATGAAAACTTGTGCGTGAATTGCGCCAGCCAAGCGCTATACGTTCTTGACAGCTACTACTATCTCTACGCCAGCTTACTCTATGATATTCGACAGTATGCTTCCTCTTCCCATATCTCTTAACCTTACACACGCACGACTTTCCCATGCTTACTTGTCACCGTATTTCTGAGCTCCCCTTGTTCATTGAAATAATACCCAAATTCTTCCAATCTCTTGGGAAACTCGATGCTTTGAGGGTTATCGTAGCTTTGTGGATATGTTACTATGTTTTCCAAGCTCATTTCCATGTTTTTGAAAAAAATTTGTACAGGTTAAACGTGTTCTCACGGAGTCCGGAGTTCATACTATACAGGAATATTGATCGACCAATTAAATCATCCACAACTAACAATGAACGTGATTCGATAGATAAGGTTTGTTTTCACTTTGCCATTGTTTTCGCCTGCAAATCGGATGTCGGTAAAGAGTTATCCATTATTAATATCACACAGGACAGGGTAACACGCTGTGCGCCAAGCGGTCGTTTTAATTTGTATGCGCATATTAATATACATTTTGTAATTTCAGCCCAGCTCATTTTTATTTAACCTGCCTGTATATTTGTTGGCAGTATAATTTATCTATTACTATTAATCTTGGCGGGATTGAGCAAACGGTTGTCATATTTGTTGAAAATCAAATACTTTTTGCCATGGAGAAAGGAGATCTTAATCGCAAGCTGGTTATTTTATTTATTAATACGAGCCAACAGTTCCGTCTACCGACCGTTATCTGTATTTCAATAAAATCGCTGTACTTTCTAGCTACCATAAGAAAGCTTACCATTGGTGTACTAACAACAGGTTTTAACCATGTATGGACAGAATGTTATACAGTAAAACGTAGCACAACTTCACTGATAACGCTGATAACCAGTTATACTCCCACGATCGCGGAATATCCGATAATCAATTATAATTAGTAAAACATGTGAAAAATCTAATTTTTCTACTGGCCGTATCTACTAAAGCTAATCGATTGTATTTTTCGATGAAAGTAACGCTACATTTAAAAAATCCATTGTTGTTCTATACGTATTCATCAAACCACAACATTATTACAAAAACATATTCAACTTTATCAGCATTCTCCCCAAAAAAAACTACAATCGGCTTGAAGATATACAAAAATTTCGTTGTTTTGCTTAATAGATACGGCCAGTAGTAGTAGAGATTTTCGTATGTTTTACTAATTGATCATCAGGAGTGTATTTCGGTCGTCTAAAAATAAGGTCAAACTGATCAAAAACCATCAGGTAGAGAGTACTTGAACTCGGAAAATTAGAGAACGAAATGCGTTCTATAAAGCCAGTGAAGGGATCATAATATAGTTTAGCAGTATCTTAATCCCGTATTCCAATTCTGTGACATCGTGCATTTCAAAAGGATTCAAGGTCAGGAATTTGTGAGACGGTATACCTGGTAGATTGATGTTTTCCCCTAACCAACCAATTAATAATATCTTTGCTTATTCAAATTTCTGCCATTGTAAAGAAACTTTACGAAAACGAAAACAAAACAAACGTACGTAAATGCCATGATAAATAAAATAATGATTCCGCTGTTTTCACACATTCAAGCTTAAATTTATCCAAACTAAAATGTCGGTCCAAAGTGCAATTTACATTCAGATTCTTGAAAACCTAAGCTGCAAAGCTGATATAAACTTTCTGTTATTTTAAATAAACTTTTGTCGAATGCCTTTTTCTAGTGTAAATAGTGAATTGTTAATTAAAATTATTTTCAATTATTTAATTGTCACGGCTGATTCTGAAATCCGGCTGAAGCTGAAACAATGACCTTTCATTGGTTGATCAGATTTTATTCTCTAACCCCATTGGTTAGTTTCAGCTTCAGCCGGATTTCAGCATC